ATATCTGCGTAACATTCAAACCCAGTGCACTCAGAAAAACTATAGTTCGATTTTTTTTAACGTGAAAAGCTCAATTCCTTAGCAAAAGATGCATAAAAGCTGCAACTAATTACTATACATCTACCTTTTAGCTGAACTCAGCGCTGAAGAACGCAAGTACTGAATCTGTCTTACAAATTAGAAACCTCACAATATCATGATCGTCAGCTTCCACAGCAATAGTTTCATTTTTTTCATAAACTTCGAAACACGTGGACGTAGTCTTAATTTCAATTGGCCAAATGTTCTTGAAACATTTGGCTATACAGTACTACAGTAATTAAAGCAGAATAAATGAAAAGCAGCCCACGGACAAAATTAAAATGTCAATTTTGTCAGTCGACGTTTTGGAAGCTTACATTAGAACACCGAAGTTTTCTTTTGATCGATGACAAAACAAGTGAGAAAAAAAATTGAACGGTTCTCAATTCTCAGGTGCTACGCTTGAGCAAATGAATCACGTTTCATTCGTGCTTCATATGGTTGATTTCCAGGTTACACTTGAATCATCTTAAAGCCTCATTTCTAAACAAACTTGGAATAGAACCATGCTATATAATCGATTTATCAAAAAGTTTACCGAAAAGATTTGTGATTGGCTGGACAGATTCCGGCATTTCCGTGTCGCATTGATCAACTCAGTTTGTTTAATTTTTGGCCGAGCATCTGGTCCGAATTGATGTCGTTCATCATTCGTTTCACCAGGCTGATCTCTCAAGCTGAAAGGATTAGATGTCAATTGGTTGGAACTTACCTTCATTTCTAATCCGCATTTCTATTACAAAAATTAATAAACATGAAAGTCAGACGGCATATTTTCCCCAGAGAAAGTTATTCTATACTGTATATTTATCCGAAATACAAAACCCATTCCTCACATTCTCAACAACATTCTTTCGTGAATCGACCTTCAGAAAGCCAGTCATTCGAAAACGGAAGTAAACAGAAAACGGTACGACTAAAGTTGTCGAATTTTCTATGATCACAAAAGGACCTCTCTGAGAACCATGTAATCTGTCCCTTATGAAAAGAAACAAAAAAGTGGAGAGGTTCTGATGGCGGATGACCGTGAAAATCACATTCATTCCTCAGCACCCAACTTGAAAAAAAAAGTGTCACGAAAATTGAAGCACATGCGTTGTCACAGCCGACGAGCTTGATGACAATTCTTTCATAAACTACTGCGCCACGCCCATGTACACTTGCTTCCTGGAACAGAACTTCAGGGCGAGCATGCCAGGTTTTCCGTAATGAAAAAAAACCTCATAAATCCTTGAGATTCTTGTCTCAGTCAACAAAATGCTCAACAAATCATATATGAAGCACGACGATGGCCCCGTCGACCACGGGACACCCAACTATCGACACCAGCAATCGCGTCTACGAAAAAACGAGACTTTCCGTTAAACGCAGAGACCAATATACTGTAATTGGATCCATCTTTTATGCAGAAAAAAATGTACATGCGAAGACCATGTAAAATAAGTTCCTATAGGTGCAGCTTACATGATTTTAAAATTTAGAACGAAATCAAAAGCACGCTTTATTGCTTATCATTGTACTGTACTTAAATTTTTAAGCATATAAATCAATTCGAAGAGGAAAGAGAAAGCCGTTGACGTAAGATTATTAGTTAGAAAGCCGATTCCGGGAAATTTTTCCCCGGCGATTTTTCTGCAAAAGATGAGCCCCTAAAAGGTGAATCACGATGCTCGTGAACGACACAGAAAAAACAGGCGCAATATCCTTTGGAACCATGCTTAAGCTTGAGTCTTAACTGTTACTCGGGAAGTTTACGCGAAAAATTATTACTTTCAAGTCCCTCGAAGGATGATTAAATGAATATGTTCGATCGTTTTAACAGACTAAAGAAGTTCATTCGAGGCTGTTATGAAGCGCAAGTTCGAAGAAACCGTCGATGCGAGGCTCGACCATCAGCAGCAGGTACGCTTGAGGACGCTGATGATGATTAAAATTTCTGCAACGGCTTTTGCTCATTTTCTAAAAATTAATTTTATAGACTAAAAGGCTGGGAAAATTCTATGCCCAGTTATGTATATGCTTCCTATATGACAGCTTTGGGGTTACGCCGGCTTTTGCTTCACTTGAGCAGATTTTCTTTACTGAACGCATCCCGCCGGGGTTCATCGTAGGATCCTTATAATACTAACTCATTGAAGGTTGATTGTTGTCATGACATTTCTTAATATAAATGAATTGCTTCATTATTCAATGCCATGAAGTATTACATGAAAGTCACTGTCATACCATGGAAAACTCAGTTGTATAACGCAGTTGAAATATTGATCAAAATAAAGATGGTGCCGGAATTTGTTCCGCCATTCCCCTGGCACAGCAGAATTTTGTTTTCGGATTGACCTAGGGTATTTCTAGGATAGGTGCCGCTTCAAAAAAAAATGTACCATTTAGCACATCCAATCATAAGGTTCTGGGATTTTTTTCAGATTTTTTTGAAAGTTTTTAGATTTTCTTGGTAATGCTTCATTACTGCAAGACAATAAATGAAAACGTTCCAGTTCTGTCAAGCATTTTCCATCCATGTCACAAACTGTTAAAAAAAATTCATTTTAGAAAAAAAATTTAACATGTTTTTAGAACAATATTCTCAATATTTTCTGTAATTCTCACATTTTTTCATCGCAATTATTTGGTTTGCCACAAATAAAAAAACTAAATCCAATTACCTAGTCTAGATGTACCCAAGGTCAATCAGAAATGGGACAACCTTCGTATATCATCCGGTAGACTTGTCTATACAATACCCTCTATAGTGGCGTAACTACTGTATATCGTCACAATAAAGAAGTCAAAGAGGGCATCAGCGCCATAGCAAAGCAAAAAAAGTTTTTGTATATAGAGCAAAAACATAAATATATTTTCGCACAGCATTGAATTTCCCTGCATGTATCACGGATAACGTTTTCAAAGTTTGGTTAAGAAATAATAGGTTTCAAAGCGGGTATAATTGATTTAAATTTCTTTATAACTTATTTAAAAGTCATATTGACTAACTTGAGTCACGCATTTACTGTATATGGGGATGACCGGTTCAAAACAATATGATCGAAACAAAATACAATTGACTATACTGTACGTGTACTGTAGGTTCAATATTTTTCAGGCACTGTTCCATCGTTTTAATAAACTAATTTTTTTTTCGTTCCAGGGTTAATTTCTCGCTTTTTTTCTGTTTTCTTTTTCCTTTGTTATGCAAGCGCTCTGCTGTGATGGCGAGTCGCGCGGACGACTGTTGCGGCGTGTGCCCACCGTGTAGCTGCTGCAAGCCCGTGACCTGCTGCTGCCCCCCGTGTTGCCCGGTGCCGAATTGCTGCCCATGCCCGACCCCCCGGCCCTGCGCCCTCTATCCCCCGTGTGACCCGAAACCACCGGAATGCCCTGGCACCTGCCCGACACCCGTGGCGTGTCCCTGTAAGGGTTGCGTGTACCCGGATCCGCCTCCGCCTTGCCCGACACCCACACCGCCCGTGTGCCCGATCCCGCCTTGCGGATGCATTCCTTATATCAAACCTAGGCCGTGTTGCTGCATGCCGCCGTGTTGTATTCCTGAGCCGTGTGCGCCGCCTCTGCCACCGGCGATCTGCGTGCCGACCAAGAGTTGCGACGATGCTCACGACGAGGGTTGCCGACGACATGATGACGACTTCGCCTGCTTGAATGCTGATCAGGCTGGCTTAGACGCCTTGGAATTTGACGTGGTAGGTCTCGTCGTCAGAACCATCCTGCTGCTTAACTCAAATATTCAATGTACAGTACTCGTGATTACAGTAGGCGTAAGTAAATAGCCGAACCTCTTCAAGTCGAACTTTAACGGACCAGCAAACAAATTCGAGTTAGGGAGGTTACTTAATAAGGGATGTCTTGGGTGAGGGAGGTTTTTAATGCATTATTTCTGAGGGAATTTCAAAGAGGGACCTGAAAAAGCATTTTTTGACCTAAATTAGGGAGGTCACTTTTTTATTATGAAACTTGTCCCAGCATTAGAAGTTGACTCCATTATTGTAAGCAGTCTAATCAAGTATATATATATATATATATATATATATGTACCTGTTAGAAAATTGATAGAAGCAAGAATTTTAAAGTGAATCGGAATAAGGTATTTTTTACGTCGGATATATACATCACGCTTTGAATCTCAGGCTTGGGCCTACGTTTTTTAGTTAAAATTTTAAAAATTATGATTTAACTGACTTCGATATGTGAAGGAGCATGTTGTATCTATATGTATCATTCACGCATATCAATCATCCAGTTCAAAATCCTCTAGCGAGATACATGGCTAAGAAAGTCCTAGTTACCTGTTAATTTTTTGCAGGGACCATGACAGTATTTTGTAATACCCGTGAAGGTTTTTTTGTTGCTTTCTTTTCGAAGTGGTACAGTCCATCCACGGAAAGGCAGTTACGAGGTACAGGCATGTGTAGCCTGTGAGTATAGAGAATGTTCGAATGGAATCTCGCTGTTACTTTTTTGTGTGCCAAATATGATGAAGTCATCGTCCGACCAAATCGATGGAGATATAAAGCCACAGTGATAAAATGATTGAAGTGAAATTTATGCATCTCACATGATGAGCATTAATTAACCCTGCATTTATACTGTAAATAATTGTTAAAAACATGATTAACATTGCAAATTCCATATCTTTTGGACACCTATCTAAATTCCCTTATATACCATGGTTGTCCAGAATCTCCCTCACATCTGTCATTATTGCAGCCTACTGTTGGTAAGACGAGTCACGCTAATAAAGCGGAAGTCTGTCGTCAAAGCGTACAAGCTGCTATTCCGACCTGCAAATCTCCGCCTCCGTGCAAAATCCCGTCATGCTGCATGCAGCCGACATGTTGCGATGCTGACTTCGACTTCAATTTCGCTCCCGCTGACTTTTCTGCCGAGAAAAAATGAATAAGAGAATCAATATTCGCGTTTTTATACGTACGACGGATGTGAGGGTGTTGGAGCGACATCTTTCTTCTCTCGCGCGCAACGATGAATCGATTGACGGACTTCCACCGATCATTCAACGTCATCTGTATAGGTCCTACGATGCATTCAACTGGAAGGAATCATCCGCATCGTCACGTATTAGGCTTTCGAAGTTATCGAGAAAAAAGTATAGTGTGTGTCTTAATCAATTTTATCCTTAATTGTCAGCAAATTATACCGTCTTTCATGCGTTTTATTTTTCAGAACTTTTATGTGTTTAAGGAAATTTTCCTTCTTCAATCACCAACTGATACCTTCCGTGCACTTCTGGTTCTTTACGTGTCGCTGTGCGCCCTCCTTCGTTTACCGTATTCATGTTTCTTTATAACGAGGCCCGTGTTTGTTCGATGTGTCAGCCACTCGGCACGTGCAATTTGCATAAATATTTACCGGAACAGTGCAGACGTTTCTCGTAAACAGCGATCATGATGTCTCGCTGCTTCAGTTATTGTTGGGGAATCTTTAAATTGAGTACAGGAGTAAGCTGGAGGTGTAATGCGTGAAATCTTATGTTTTCCCTGCTTGATAGATGAGAACTTGACGATGTGGAGTGAAGAAACGGAAATTTTGGTGTGGATTTAGAGATATAAAATATTTGGATTACCTATGAGACAGTGATTCAATTTTTCCTGCAATGCATTCGTGAGCTGCTGTATGGAACGATGATAATTTTCCGTTAGTGAAATTTTATTTCAGCACGTTATGTAAACTCATTAAATTGGTTGCTGTTTTCCAAAAAGTTCGAAGAAACTCACTGCTGGGCAATGTCACGTGTCGGATAAATTTATCGGTTTAAAAACCGTACAGCATTCATAAAATGAAAGAATGGTAAAAATTATATGAAAGAAAAGTCAGAAATTAAATTTCAAGACGAATAATGCAAAAAATTAAATCTTGCATTATTTTTCTTAATGTGTCAAAAAATTGACAAGTTAAAGTCTAGCTGTTCGGGAATATATGAAAAATTGGTGTTTACGTTATTAAGAATTCTATATTTTTCCTTGGGCCCGAGATTTTCAACTTGCATTTTTTAAATCGCGATTTATCGTTGAAATAAATAAGCCTGTTTACTCCTCTTTATCACTAATCTATATATGCATTAATTGCGCGATCATTTAAATTCATCTTTCAATATATAAATGGCTGTGTACGTCACCCGTCAATTTTTTGCAGGAAGCATGACTGTATTTTGTCCTACGTTTGATGCTCTTTTGGGATAAGGAATATGAAAGATGTTCGGACGAAACAAACTTACTGCTGGTTGCTTACAATTCAGAAAAAATAGACAATTTTATTCCTCCTCCCCCCTTATCTTCACAGAATCTTATTGTCATTGGTGCATTGAAGGACGCCATGATATTCACGAGAATTATGTTTGTTTCTGCCGTTAGAGGTAAACATCGAGCCACAGAACAATTCAAAAGCCTAGCAGCGAGTGTACATAACGTTATCAGCACCGGCGCTGGATAATTTTTAATCTAGGAAAGTTACACCAAGCCAGCATTTATTTAGTGTACAGTATTTAAAAATTAAGTTAAAATACTCAGCGTTCAGCCAACCGGAGCGGTAATTTTGTTGTAACTAATATTCATACTTGAAATGTACGTAACCTCAGCATGTAACTAGTTGACAACGCGTGACAGCAACGATCAAAGGCCTATTGTAATTTTGAATTCCAGGTTGTCATTCACGGAGAAACAATTTATCAATTTAATTTTTGATACTGTGTCAAATCCCGGCTCGAGTGAACTTCGGCTTGTCGTTTAGAAAAAAAACCATATTTATGGATCCATTGTCGAAAATCGTTTTTCCAAATATGCGTGAAGACGTTTTACTCCGCGTATCTAATCAATATCAAAAGTCCATCCTCAAAAGTTGTCAGTCTCGCTTCAGTAATTCTTGAATCGAGCAACCCTGATTATTTGTAATCGAAGATTCGCATCAAATCGTTCCTCCTGAAATATAGTTCGAGAATTTTTCATAATTTTCGAGTTGAGGCAGCGAATTTTCCTCGCTCATTTGATTTTGACAACCGCTGCATATCTTCGCATCTTTAAACTGGACTGCTCTGTTGGCAATGGTTGTTGAAAGGAGAATTCATATGTTTTTTGCATTTTGAGAAACAGAACAATTTTGTAGACATCGCATTGTCTTGACGACATAAACGTGTCCTTGATGATGCGTCATAGGCCATGCAGATTGACGAAGAATTGAATCTTATGAGATAAAATGGGCGGTGAAAATACCCTCACGAAGTTTTTTTACACAAAAACCTAGGTCATACTTATCTACGGTACATAAGAATTGAATTAAGGTATAGTAAAGAATTTCCGTGGAAAATATGAATGAAGACGGCATAGTCTCCAGCCCATTCCCGAAAGTGAGCGATAAACTCGCTGAAGGAAGGGATTTGTGGGAATTCATCCAGGAACGAATTAAACAAGTCATTCGAAACAATGGAGACAAGCCGATGTGGGTTCGTATCACGTTTTTCCCCCAGTATTTGCCTTGTAATAGCCATACAAATCAAATCCGAATTCAAATGGACTCCGCAGATCGACGGGATTGCGGACAAAAGCATCACTTACGCACAATTCCTGGACCGAGTGGAAAAAATGGCTCATTTTTTCAGCCAAACTTTGGAGATGAAACGAGGCTCAAAATTGATCATGAGCTGCTGTGGTGACGTGAATTTCTTCGTCGTCGTTTTTGCGGCTGTTGCTCTTGGAATACTGGTATTTTCCATTCCGTCATACGCCCTTGGTACGTATGCATGGAAAGAGAAAAATCCAGCTGCTTTTTCCCCCTTATATAAACTATATAAACTCCGCTGATGTTTTATTTTTTCGCCCCTTTTGGAAAGAATGCATCCCGATTTGTCTTCGGGAAGATGCTGGTATAAAAGTTATTGTCTGTGACGAGGACAATGTCTCGAACATCACGGAACTTCTCGCTTCAGCTGAAACAAATTCAAGAGAAACTGGAGAGCAAATCGAAAGTCCGAAAGTTTTTCTAATCGAAGGAGATCATCCGATATATGAGAACATCCCCTCAATATTGCAGTCATCAGCATTGGCTGAAACGAACGACGATCGTATCAGTAAGAATTCCTTGTAATCGACCAAATAATCTTCGGACAAAAAATAAATAAATGGATTTTTGGATATTTTGTGTATACAGATTATCCGGAGATAGACGACGGCGATGAAGATTGCGTCGTATTTTTCTCCAGTGGCAGCACTGGAGTGCCAAAACCTATTGTTCACACCAGAGCCAATATGCTGTCCATCGCCTTCAACGTATCCGACAAGTGAGTTGATAAATCCTCGAAGAATTCAACTCAGCTTAAAGACGGGAAAATATTGCACTCTTTACTTTGGTAAAATTCCAAAAATAATAAATAAAAACTCAGACAGACGATGGGAACATTTTCATCGCCAGAAAATAAAACTCTCTTTCTTCCGCATCATATGCTCGTGTCATCTTGCTTTACCCATCACACATTGCGTAAAATTTTTTCAAAGATCTTGGTATAAGTTATTGCGAAAAAACCATAACAGATGATCTGTCAATCAGGGATTTTTTGCACAAAATAACTTCCTTTTCTGAATTGGTTTCAGGAAAATTATTTCCGGCACATATGTTTTCCCCTCTTTCAATTCTGAAGGCTTATATAAAGGGAAAACTCATATTCATCTTAAACAACAGTGATATGGAATATGAATAAGAAAAAATTGGCACGCAGTTCAGCAGTACATGCAAAAATCCAACTAAAAACCCCCTTGCTTGTTTTACTGAACCGCCAGTTAACCAACATTCAGTAGGAAATACATCAGTCCACCAAAGCAGATTAACTTGCACATTTATAATTGACGCTCCAACATCTAGATTGTCTGGAAGCTTTTCGTAAACTTTTAAATACCGAGAGGGTTTTGGATTTTCTATCACGGAGCCCAACGATACTGCGATGAACAGGCAATCAAAAGGAGCATAAAAGTACCATGATTTAACTTAGGACATCAATTCAATAACTCTTCAATTGCTTTGAAAACAATTTTCCCGGCAAATCGGTAAAAAATCATCATTAGAATCAAGTAAGTATGATGAAGTGCACCGAAACTTTTAACATTTTTTGAAAATCCTATCCCCGCATATGATGCGCATCTTCTTTTTTTATTTCAATTCGAGAAAATAAGGTTAGTGTAGTAGTTCGTAATAAATACAAGTACCATATACGGTACTTCACTCATTCCTAGATTAAAATTCCAGATCATGTGATGCATAGAAAGGTCCATCCAACACATATTTGGACCCCGAAGCTTGTTTCTATATATATAAGTATTTTCAAAACAATTTTCGGTTTGGTTTCTCCTTGCATGATCGCCGTATTTTTTTTTTAATGTTTAGTTGGGTCAGCAAGGAAAAAGAAAGTGAAGTGAAGTTATCCACCTTCAATCAGGGACACGCCGGTGGGTTCATCATGTTTATTCTCAATCTCACCGCTGCCTCTACATTGGTGGGTGTATCCAAACCGACTCCTGAAAATATCTTGCGAGCCATCGAAAAATATCAGGTGAGAAATAATTTTTGACCTCAAGTTTCAAGAATAAATTTGCAGGAAAATTGAACGCGTTTGAGTCTCTCTTCAGACAACAGCGGTCAACATTTATCCAAAGCAAGCCATCCTTATAAGTAAAATGGACAATTTGCACAGTTTCAACTTGTCATCTGTCAAGGAACTTTCATCATCCGCCGCTACATTTCCCAATTCTATCATCCCGACGCTGAAAACTGTGTTTTTCAACGTAAAACGACCAGTAGAACAGGTGAGAGACGTTCATCAGCACGGTCCTCTACCTAAATCCACTTCAGGATCAGGAGCAAAGAAATAATAATGTAATTAGTTGTTCACCGAAGACATCGGAATAATACGCGTATTTTCCAGCTGTACGGTTCCACTGAAACGCTGTGCATAAGTTCGTCCACCGGAATAGGCGCTGATGAAAATGAAGCTGGGGTTGGACACCTTCTGCCTTATGCACAATTAAAGGTGAGCACTGTACAGAACGTTTTTTCGGCAGTTCTATTATCCAGTACAACATAAGACTGCTAGATCCTTACATCTATTTATTCTGATAAAATGAACCAGGCGTAGCGTAATGCATGCGACTTATTGTACCGCTGCATGACCTGAGAGCTGAAACCTTATGCTTGAAATATGCCAGCATGCATTTCAATCAGAAGTTGCGACCAATACACAATATATACTATGAGATCAATTGAACGCTATGCTGTGAATTACTTGTTCATATTTCTTTGTTTCTGTATTTTCCTTCCGTATAGGAAGGAATCATTATAATCGAAGGGCACACCGCGGTTAGATGGAATAAACATTTTCAACATTAAAAGCAATTTTCCAGCTCCTGCTTTATTCCCGCATGCTGATTATGAGGCGGGATCTCTGGATAACTGCTGTCCAAATATAATATAGAAAGATTTCATGGAATTTTTGGTCGCAAAAGGGGACATTATTTACAACGTCAACATGTTATCCGCAATAAAGACATCGTACAAAAACTGAAAGTAAAATTTACTAGAATTTTTCTAATTGAATCCAAATTGTGTATCAAAATTTGAAATTCCATTCCATCTACACAGTATATGTGAAGTGTAGTTAGTCGTGTTATACATAGCCCTTCACACCTTCGCCAGAATATGCCCTGAATTAAGTTTACTGTTCATACTAATCAACTGCATATACACATCAGGTGAACATGGGAAGAGAACCGCATAAGAAAAAAAAAATTGGCATACAGAGAAAATCTTTGTATAGGCAAGATTGTTAAAAGGGATAGAACACGTAAATGCAATCTACCACGACCTCATATATGTTATTTGAGTGCAGCAACTTTGTTTTAGACACGCGTATTGGCATTCTAGTCATCAGAAAAAATTTACTTGTGACAAGAATGAAGGATTCATGAGCGTAAATTTAAATTTACTTCGATCTATACTTCCAGTGTCACATGTTCAATTATTAGAAATAATTGTTTTTAAATGTCCTTGCTTTTCAAGATTCATTTTTTTTAGAGAAGGGTATCAATATTTCAGCTGAAGCTCAATCAGCATAAAAATAATGACAAGGTCCAGGTGCCACATCTACCTGATGCACATCCTCGCCCTAAATACATATAGGCACTACATATATGGGCCACGGTGGCATACCGGTGCACGAAATGTATATAGATATGTTAGCACAGCATGTACGGTACCGCGGTACAGTGTTCTACTTGGTGCGAATTATAGAATTGTTCATTTGGCACGGTTCTAAAGAAATTCATTGTTTCTTCGGCAGGTGATTGATGTGCGAAGTAATAAAGCTCTGGGACCAAATCAGCCGGGAGAAATTCTCATTCGCCACAAATTCAGATTTAAAGAATATCGTCATCGCTCTAAGGTACATTTCTTTATGTAAGCATAACCCATAGACATTTCATGAAAAAGTGAAATACTGTTCATGTACAAAACGTACACAACTTCCACATTCTTATCCGTGAAATTCTTCAGCTAACAGCGGAATCCTTAGCGGAAGATGGATGGTTTCTAATGGGCGACTACGGTTTCTACGACGAAAACGGACGACTTCACATTCTCGACAGAGTCAAAGAGCTTATAAATCTGCCCGACGACAGGATTGTACGTCTTCGCGCTATTATAATACAGAACATTAAATCTCGGAAATGAAATATATAGTATTTTACTTTGACACAATTAATCCTCAGGTGTCCCCCTCCCATATTGAAGACATTACCTTACGCCATCCAGCCGTCAAGCTCGTAGGTGTTTCTGGGATACCGTCCATTGAAGGAGGCTCACTTCCCAGGGCTTTCGTTGTTCCACTCTCTTATCATAACTCAATTGAAGCATGGGAAATCGTCACATTCGTGTCAGGTGAATTCCGCGAAGTATTCTTGAGAGTCCACACGATTAATATGCCAATTCGCACATTTAATAAAATTTTCCCATTCGTAGCTCAAGCAGGTGAGTCCAGTCATCTGCATCTGATTGGTGGGGCCGAGGTCGTACCGGAAGGGATGGAGATTACGAGTCTCGCTGGCAAAATATATCGCACGAAGCTTCAGCAACTGTATCTTTCGCGCTTGCAGAGAAACGCTACTGATAGCTGAACAAAAGCTCTCGAGTCTCGACAAGTAGATGCGTTGTTTGACTCAACATGCGTGTGATGTATGTAGTGTATATGCAGAAATAAAAATATTAGCGCTCTAACAGCATTGAAAACAGTTAAGCACGCACTTTTTTCAATGCGCGTATAGAGGCCAGTGTTGACTACCTGCTACCCCCCTAGAGGGCTCAACAGATCAAAGGTATTCCGTCACTATACTGTACTGCTGATTGAAAAACACAGTATAGCAAGAAGTGCTTCAGCACAGGTTTGATCCCAGATGTACACTAGAAAAATCCAGAATTTCATTGAAATTCATTTCTGAATTTTGTTAAGGTTTTGTGCACTTTTAATTTGATCAGGTATTTCAGACATAATGATTCTTCCCTTAAAAAAAACTGCCATATTTGACTATTTGACTGCACCTGCTTGCAATAAATTATCTGTATTGTATATTTATTTCTGGAAAAACTAACCTTCAAAATTGTAGTTGCGTTTATGATGGTGCTCACCAAACACCTGTCACATTTTCACTCACATAATTTCAGATTTTGAAATTGGTGTGTTCCATTTGCTGCTTAAGACACTGACAGATGTGATATTCAAAATTTGTTCTTATGCTCTGTGTCATGTCATTTGTAGCAAGAAATCTTATTGCATATTCAGATTTGAAAAACATTCTTGAACTTTATACATAATTTGCGCAATTTGTTATTTGGATAATGAAAATAATGTTATTTATTTTGAGAATGTTTTTTTTAGGTTCACACTGTTATTTGTCCATGAGAGTTTCCCTAAATAATATATTTTATTATTTAAAGAAAGTGTTTTTTATATGTGCACTGTTATTTGTCCCCCAGAGTCTCTGTATAAATTTCGCACCAACAAACCATAGCAGTTGAAGTCACTCAATGAGAAACTGGTGCTGGGAGGGGTGGCCTGGAAGAGGTAGCCCTGAATGGAGCAGGGTTGAGTTGAAGTTGTACCATAACGTCGCGTGACGCTTCTGCAGAAAAACACCTTCCAAGGATCCATCACAAAAAATCAACAGTTCAAACTGTGTGTACGGGAACATTTTCTTTAATACAGTACAACCAAATATCCTTAACATAGCGCTATCTCCACCAAACATACACATTATTACACGCCTAAGCTTCCATTTCATGGAATTTTCTTGCACTGGAAACCGCCCCTTGGTTTCGTGGCTGGGATGTCGTTCACTGTACTGTACTGTACTGTACCATGTGGTACAAGATCTCCTCAGGATAAAGTCATGCAGAACATCAAACGCATACTTTCTTTTTTAGTTTCAGGAATATTTGAGTTTATTTTCACTTTAAAAAATGATGGGCACTGTCAAGAAACACAAATCCCTGGAAGTGAGTGGTTTTAGTAGCTATCCGGTACGGTAAATGCTACGTAATACGTACATCCATGAATTGCATCCGTCGCGTAGAAAACATGATGGCTTACCGCGGCTTGAGCATCCTCGACGAGAGTTATAGCTTGCCTCGTGAGTGGCCTCTGATTGGTCGACGGAACGGGCAGAATGCGCCTTCAACATGTCGGTCGTGGTTCGTTCTAGATTCTCGGCGTCAAGCGTGCGCGGAGGTTGTATGTCGTGGTGTGACCCTTGTGAAATCTTCGTCGAGATCTTCTTCCCTCGTTTCTGAGCTTTTTTCGGGCGTTTCTGAGCCTCTTTCGGGCGTTTCTGGTTGTGAAGTGCGTGAAACTTTCCTACTGTCGATTGCATGCATTTCTTGTAACATTGTAGGTATATGCTTGTTTACTAAGGCTTGAAATTGGACTCCATATTTAGGTTCGGTCAAGCTTTCTAACTTCATTCAACATTTTGATAGATGATTTCTTAAGACAGTTTCTACGTTTCTCTCGTTGTCACATGCGAAGACGTTCAATCGACCGTCTTCGCACGTAACGACGGGAGAAACTTTGACACGAAGGGAGAAACTTGGGCATGCGAAGACGGTCAATTGACAGTTTTCGAACGTTTAAGTTCCTCCCGTTGTCGCGAAGCACATGCGGCGACTGTCAATTTCTGCGAATACCCAATGTGTACACATGTTGGATCGAACTGGCATCCACTTTTCGAGAGCTTTTGTTAAGCCATCGATAGCGTCTCTCTGCAAGCGCGAAAGATACAGTTGCTGAAGCTTCGTGCGATATATTTTGCCAGCGAGACTCGTAAACTCCGTCCCTTCCGGTGAGACTTCAGCCCCACTTATCGAATACAGATTACTAGACTCTCCTGCTTGAGTTGAGAACGGGGAAAATTTGATTAAATGTGCGAATTGGCTTATTAATCGTGTGGACTCTCAAGAATACTTCGCGGAATTCACCTGACACGAATGTGACAATTTCCCATGCTTCAATTGAGTTATGATAAGAGAGTGGAACAACGAAAGCCCTGGGAAGTGAGCCTCCTTCAATGGACGGTATCCCAGAAACACCTACGAGCTTGACGGCTGGATGGCGTAAGGTAATGTCTTCAATATGGGAGGGGGACACCTGAGGATTAATTGTGTCAATGTAAAATACTATATATTTCATTTCCGAGATTTAATGTTCTGTATTATAATAGCGCGAAGACGTACAATCCTGTCGTCGGGCAGATTTATAAGCTCTTTGACTGTCGAGAATGTGTAGTCGTCCGTTTTCGTCGTAGAAACCGTAGTCGCCCATTAGAAACCATCCATCTTCCGCTAAGGATTCCGCTGTTAGCTAAAGAATTTCACGGATGAGAATGCGGAAGTTGGGTACATTTTTAATGTACATGGCATTTTTATGCAGTTTTTAATAGAAGGCCTTTTGGTCATGGGTTTAATGCTGGAGCTGGAAGGCTGCTTTCTAAAATTTTAATTGTTTGTTTCCGTCACCTGGTACGCTCTTCGCAAAATCGTTATATGCAGAGACGGCGTACTGACTGTTCTTGCATGTGACGATGGGAGAAACTCGGACATGCGAAGAAGGTTCGTTGAAAATTTCCCTTGCAGCGAGGACGCTCCACGCTCTCTACTTGGCCTCTCCCCAGACATAGGAAGCCACAAGCAGCAATAAATACAGACGTTCGGTCTTGCCTTGGGGATGACACAAGCCAAATTTAAAATGAATACCTAAAATGGTTCTCTCGAAATGTAATGCATAACCTTTGTTGAACTAGAACGACGAAGATGTACTCTGCAGTACAAAGCTATAGGAGAATCAAACAGAATTGTTATACTGAAGTTTACATGCAATTCTGCCATTAATTCAATAGAAGATATTGAAGCAATCCGAAAAGTGTTCCATATCAGGAATTTCATGGCTACAGTTACCATAAGTTAATTCGAACAGACCCAAATCAAAATAACAAACATATGATCTCTTCAGGAAAACAGATACTTAGCATACAAAGAAAATAAATTGTCAAAATCTTCCCTGGAATCATATTTTCTTACAAATGGATTTTCATAGTATAAGTCCTCCACTTCCTTTGGGGAGTCTTTCAGCATGGTCAGCGCCTGGAAAGACAGAACACTGGAAAATTGAACTATCCTGCCTGGAGGGAGACCAACTACCATGGTTTTCGTTTCTGCAGAGGTTTCCCGAGTGTCAACACTTATGCTGTTATCCATTCTTTGGGATTCTACTAAAAGTGATTCAGGGGGTGGTTTGGTTAGGTCAGGTTACCTTAGTTAAACATTACCTGACCTAACTGCCCCCGAAGTGGTTTTAGCAAAATACTGCCGAACTCTACAAAAAATAATGGTTGGGGTGGTTAGGTTATGATATGTTAAACAAACATAATTTAACCTAACCTCACTGCCTCCAAGAACAGTTACTGCATACTCTCAAGGAATGGACAACCATGCAAGTTTTTACACCAAGTAAAAGCCTTGACAGAAAAGATCACCAGGGATCTCAACTGCCAGAACAGAGAATAAGAGCGCAACAGAGCTGCTGAATGATTCAGGGTGTGAGGAATGTGTTTTTTTTAGAAGGATGTATAGTGTCACTAGTAAAGGGCACAAAAGCATTACCTACTGTCATGTCAGATGGAGCTAGGAGTCTGGCTCCCTTAAACCAGGATAGCTCCAAGAATTTCAAGGTCCTGAAACATAAATATGTCTCATAACCCTGGAATCCATCACATGCAAGAATGGCCAATTGATTGTTGTTGCATATGACAATTCACAAAATGCAAACAAGGAATCATTTCACATGCAACTGTCACATACAACAGTCAATTGTCCATTGTCACACATCTGTGTTCGCATTTTTTTATTTTTCTCATATGCAACAACATTCAATTGACTGTTGTAGCGTGTGACTGACTTCTGTGTTCTGAGACACAGAAATTTCTGTGTCTCAGATGCGCTGTGTCTCTTGCATGATTTTCACATGCAACAAAACAGTCAAATGATTGTTGTTGCATATTTTAACAGCCAGAAAAATTTGAGCACAGAAATGTGTCACATGCAGTAAATGGCCAAATGACTATTGTTGCAGGTGTACTGTGCTACGGTCAATATCAGAAATTTCTGCGTCAGAACACTGCATTTTTTCGGATTGCCACATGTAACCACTCACTGGTCAATTGACCGTCATTGCATGATATGTATTTCTATGTTTTTATTTTTGCGACCAGTCGCAAAAATCCAGTTTTCGTGTCACTTGATGGAAAACGTGGTTAAATTAACCAATTTTGAGCATCCTGTCAGTAGAAAACCGTTTGAAAATAGATTGAAAGCATGGCACATGGGCATCAACAAACCAAAACTGTATAGGTAATAAGCATCGAATTTTGCATTAAAACAAAAATAAATAGTCCAAAAACTGACACCCAACGAAAAATTGATAGTGGTACTTTGAACTACAAACCTTATTTGTTCCAGATATTTTCATAGTACAATTTGTTTGTACAGTTGATCCTATCTAAGTCAAATTTCAAGCAACCAGGGAAAAATTCAACTTGGAGGGGCTTCCATTTAGGGAGGTTTCTTTTCAGGGAAAGAAGCATTTTTTGGTGGGATACATGAAAGAATAGCAGGAAAGTGTAAATGGTGATATTCTGGGCTTAAGAAATTACAGTACTTCTTGAATGAGTTTACAGCATGCTGAACTTGTAGGCGAAAGTTCATTTGCCCAGTTTGCCACTTCATTTCAAAACACATTACTTATTTGTTTCATTGCGTTTCTCCTTCATGTATGAAGAAAGTTATAGCCATAAGGCTGCAGAAAATTTAACTTGAGGTTTGAGAGAAGATGGGAGTTGATAAGGTTTCTAATACATACTGTACTTTGTTTTTTAAAGGAATTCAGACAGGGATTTGAAGAATTTGCATTTACCCTGGACTTCTATGGGAAATCTTTTAATTTGTTCCAGTGCACTGAGACACGGGAATTTCTGTGTCTCAAAACACTGAAATGTTTGTGGCCATTGTCACATTCGACAACTGTCAATTGACCGTTGTCACATGTGACTCATTTTTGTGACCATTGTCACTAAAATGCAGTTAATATCCGCGTGATGTGTTTTGGCCAGTTACTGTAATTCAATCTTCACGACAGTCCAACTGAGATAAATTGGGGAAACCTACTTGGATTTGGCATCATTCTTCAACGTTTTGCCCTTTTTGTTGTATTGTGTGGTGAAAAAAGAGAAAAATACCTTACTTTCATGGTCATTTAGACAACTGTTTTGGACATTGAAGGATACTGTTGGCAAATTTCTGCTGTTGTTTTTTACTGCTTCTGAGTTTTATTTTTTTATTGTGGGGTATCTGGTGTGGAAGATTCGGATTGTTGATGACATGCATTCTTTATGATGTCATATGCTTGATGAAATTCTATGATCCAGACGCTAAGTTCGCGTCGTATTGTTGTGTTAAACGGTCAAGTGTAACCGGATTCTTACTGCTCTGCTTGTTCATCCTTCAGGAAATCTCAAGGTACTGGAGGATTAGAGGCTGGGTTTTCAATTATGCATTGCTGATTACAACTGTGCACATCAAATAAAGATCCTGCTACGCGCGAGCAAAGCTTGAAGAAACCTCATTCCTCTTGTCCCAGGGGATTCCTTGGAACGACGCTATACTTATCATCTGCGAATCTGAAGAAACGTGAACGAAGATTGAAGACAAAACAGAAGTTAGCCTTCACCTCAAGACTGTGCAGAAGATTGGCCATCTTTGTATGGACGCCGTCCAGAGCATTTAGTAAATTAACCACCCGAGATACATTAATTGGAAAGTCGGAAGAAGTTAACTATGTCTATGAACAACTGGAATCCCTTCCAAACCCCCATCAGTCTGGATGCTGATACCTCCACTCATTCCAATGGGCCTGGCCTGAATAACATATCACCATCAAATCCAACAGCTGGCTTGAGCTTCCCAATGAACCGTGCAGTGGGCAATGGACTATCGTCATTCTCGAGCAATGGAACTTACTCAGCGCGTCAAACTCCTTCATTTGGATACCAATCCTCTCAGCGAGTGACATCCCCTTTCCATCAGGTATACAAATTGATGGTCTTCTGATGTTCATAGACTAATCATTGTCTTATGTTCAGGCGCCACAAGCAATACAGACTCCTGCACCAATTCAGCCGCCGTCTTCGTCATCATTTTTTGACTCGTCGTATGGCCGTTCAAACAGCCGCACAAATTACGGACTGCAGTCTGGGTCAAACTTCGGAGATGCAAATGGATTTGATTCGAAATCGTCCACTAACGGCTGGGGTGTCAATGGTAGCATTTACCAAAAACCGAAAACGTACACAACGGCGCCATTCCAAGCACCGGAGCAGTTTGGAATGTTCCAACGCAACTCCGGTTCTTTTCGAGGACCTTCTCAAACGTCTCCTCCAATTCCATCTGGAGGCGGTGGAGATATCTTCTCGCAAGCTGATATGTTCAGCGTTGATGCCATGTCTGGCCGCAAGCAAAATCACGATGACTTCAAAACATCCCGTTGGGAGAATGGACCAGCACGTGGAGATGCTCCCCAGGGTGCTAGGGAGACGGGCATTATTGAAAAGCTGCTTCATAGTTACGGGTTCATTCAATGTTGCGAACGCCAAGCCCGTCTTTTCTTCCACTTCAGCCAATTCGAAGGCATCATTGATCATTTGAAAATTGGTGATCCGGTGGAATTTGAGATGACGTATGACAGAAGGACAGGGAAACCAATCGCTTCCCGCGTTGCGAAGATCTCCTCCGAAGTTGTTTCACAGCAGGTCTGTACCAAGTTTATTTTGCTTGCATACACCTTATTGAGTATGATGATAATTTACCGCCCCAGGCGTAAGAATATTGACGACGGTTCAGCTGATCGAACTATGCCATCTGCTGACTTTTAGAATCTTTTTCTTGAGCTTAATTATAGAACTTTTGCAGATGCAAGGAGAAGAACGCGTGATGGGAACTGTCACCACCGAAATAATGGTGGGATCTGCGCCTGGAAGGCAAGAGATAAATGGCAGGATATCGTACGAAAATCGTGGGGAGTGCTTCTTCCTTCCTTATGGACGAAATGACATCGAAGGCCATGTTACTCTCAGTGTTGGAGACCGCGTCTCTTTCTTGATCGCAACTGATCAGAGGTTAGTCGTTTCGTGTCACTGTCTTCAGTTCTGCATGGGTTTACATTGAATTTTATTTTCAAGGACCGGAAACTTGGCAGCGAGGTGCGTCCGACTAGAGAATCCTGCAGCTCCTGTTCGCTACCGAGGGATCATTGGCTCTATATCCGGCGACTCCGGTTTTATTGAACGTGGTGACGTGGTCCGCCAGATTAGGTTCCTCGCTCAAGAATTGGAAGAAAACATCAAAGTCGGCAATCACGTTGAATTCTCCATTCAGACATCTAATGTGAGTATGAGGTTTCTCTAAATGTAGTGCCTGGAAAGACATCTTCACAAGCTTATTTTTTGCACTGCGCATGCGGTTTTTGAGGCTGGTTTTTCACTGGCCTTCCTCTGTTCCATCTCGTCAAGGTGGAGCATGAACATTTATGAATCAACTGGTACATTACATTAAAGGTGAAACTTGATTGAATTCCAATTTACCGGTTTGTTTTAATCCCGTGAACATTGTATTATCCAAATGTGTATAATAGTGAGTTACATTATTTATATTTTTTACAGGGGAAAGAGTTGGCTGCTGGAATAAAACGTCTTCCCGATGGCACCGTTGTGTTCGAAGATATAGATGCAGAGATGGTCCGGGGTCAAGTTCTGAAGACCGCTGAACGTAGAGACAGCCCTGAGGTTGGGACATTGCCGCCACTGTATCCCACGCACAATGGAAATGGTGACGTACATAGTATGTCTGGAAAATGGACCCCGCCAATGATGAGCGGTCCTTCTGTCATGCCGTCTACTGCAAACCAAGGACGTGCAGCTTTGCTATCCGGTCGAATTCGCTACAGAGGAAAGGATAGATCGGAAGTGGAGATTCCCTTCGGCGAAGCTGATCAGAAAGGGAGTTATTCTTTGAGGTCAGTTTGCTAATTTTCAAGAATTCCTCGTTGACTGCATGAGAAGGATACTTGTATTCATTTAATTGTCAACCTTAGATCTCATCTGAATTGAGAAGAAATTTTCTACAGTACATCATACGTGGGTATTCGTATTGCGATTTAATCTGGGATAAATCTAGGTGATCTATTTGAAAACGCTACGACGTTCTTCGATTCTGGGAACATGAAGCTTTGATGAAGTTCACGTGGTTTAAACCTGCAATGGATGCTATTTATATGTATTGACGCATTATATCTTCAGTCTTGCTTTTTCAAAGTTGAACTAATCCGTCTACGTATGCAGGCATGGTGATTGGGTGAGTTTCCACATCGCTACCGATCGACGTGACCAGCAGCAACGTGCAACCAGGATCACATTGAATGATGAATCCTTCGTTGTTTCGGGCGAGAAACGTGAACAGGGGATCGTTCGCAGTGTAGACAAGGTGGAAGCTGATGGAAAACCTGCCGAAGGCAGCATTGACTGCGTTGAGCGCGACGGTTTGGTCCACTTCAGCGTGAAGGAACTCATGGATGAATCCGTCACTATTGCTGTTCGGGATGAAGTGGAGTTAACTGTTGGATCAGAGTGGATGCATGCAGGACGCGCTACTGCCTTGCGAATCAAAATTCTTCCGCGTGGATCAGTCAATTTCAAAACTGTTCTCAAAGAGGGATTGATTGGGGAAGTTGTTAGCGAGCCCGGCAAGAAAGACAAGCAGCCTGGTCGTGTTGTTATGGAGGATGGGAGCGAACTTCCATTTGAAGAAACAGAAATCGACGAAGATATTCTTGTCGATCAAGGTTCTGGAAAGCCTGAAGTTGGGGATAAGGTGAGTCTCCGTAAATCGTTATTCCGTTTCCAGGCAAATATTGTTACCTATGATGAGGTTCTATACCGCCCCAGTCGTACGTTTGCTGCCGACCGGTTTCTCTGACGTAGACGCCATTTTCGAGCGTAATTTTGATGAAGTTCTCGTCTGATGCATATTTTGATTTGTTTTCAAGGTCAAGTTTGACGTTGTGCAATGCAGGAAGACCAAGAAGGTTCTTGCTGTGCGAGTGGAAGTCATTGAAGCTCGCCCGCCGCTGTTTGATCCGAACACCGAAATGCCACCTCTTCCTCCAAGCCCGCTCCTTGAGGACATCATGCCAGTAAATCTGGCTCCCATTCTAGCTCCCGTTCCGGACACATTGCCATCTCCACTGAAACCGACACAGCTTACATCTCTTCATCCTGGGTCACCAGTCTCTAACGGGAGTTTGGTCAAAATAGACGCCGTTGACGAGTATAATCGCAAAGAAAGATTGATGAAAGCTGGTTCTGAGGCTTCCGGAGGAAAGCGAACTGGGGAGTTACTGCGTGGATACATCACTGGGGTGAAAGATGGTTTTGGCTTCATCGAAAAATTGACAAGGGATTCCGATGTCTACTTCAGACTCGAGTGAGTTACTTTTTTTGATTCTTGTGATTCGCTTAATATAACTTCTCTCTTGGTCTACAGTGCTTTCAAAGGAGACGCTAGCTCGTTGGAGGTAGGCCTGGAAGTTTTGTACGTCCTTAGCGAGAGGAAGCACCAGTCGGGGCGTGAATCTGCAGATTATGTCACACCTGCTCCAACAGTAGCACAGGTGGCTGGCGGGAATGCGGCTGTCGTGAAACCAGAGATTTTGTACGGTGTGGTCATGCGTCCACTTAAGTCGGGAAATGTGGACCAAGCGGAATATTGTGGTTTGATCAGGAATGGAACAGCTGGTGAGTTTTCGAAAGTGGGACATCTGTAGTACGGTATGAGTTGAGACTTTCCGTGAATTCACTGCAGATGATAGCGATGGCCTGACGTACGAATTCGGAGTAACCAGTGTAGCCAAACGAGTTCAACTTCAAGCAGGAGATGCTGTTCAGTTTCAAGTTGAGGTGTCCACTGGGAAAGCTGTGAACGTCAAGCCTTGCCGTACGAAGTTGCGTTCAATTGTGGATAGTGTCAAAGGTGATTTTCAATTCTTGGATCTGACCCTGATTCTATCACAGTATATGGGAATCGTTTTCATTGTCATCTGACTGAATTTTGTCTACAGGGGCTTACGGCTTCCTGTCGTATGAAACTGATGAGGGGAAGAAGTTATACTACAATCAAAGTGATGTTAAAGACAAGACCAATCTCCAAGTTGGTGATCATGTGGAGTTTGAACTCAACACGAAGCGTAATGGCAAGACTTCTGCGTGCGACATCGTCAAAATCACGTGAGTTTTCGCACCTGAAGTTTCTTTTCAACACTTCATTGGGTTTGAATTTAAAAATTATTTTTAGAATCGAAAGATGATCGTGAACAAATTCTGAAGAGTTTGTTGACTGTGATGGGAAGGATTTGACGAAATTGTTTTCCTATACAGAGATAACCAGCGTCCCGAACGTCTGATCAGCAAATTGCGTGGGCTGAATCTCGGCGGCGATGGGAAGCGCCTGAAGGTCATCCGTCAGCCACGTGGACCTGATGGCACGAAGGGTTTCCAGCCTCGTGGATCGCAAGTTGACGTTCCAGTTCTACTTGGTACTTCTCCGCCATCATCTCCGGTTTCTATGGCGTCGTCCACTTCTTCGTAAGCGCCTGCGGCTCGAATAACTTCATGAAGTTCTGCTATGGGCGTCATCGCCGTGTCGTGGGATGGTTCACTTCGAAGTTCATGTGTTAGCTTAGTTTTGCTGAGTATATTTTTTCGTAAACGTCAACAATGCCGTATTGATCGGCTCTGTTCTGTTGTCAGTTGCCGGTGCTGGACGGAATGTTCCGAAAAGTTTCATCACTGGGTTAAATAACTCACGATTCCTGTAATGATAGTGTTGTCAAGTCCTGTGTTGTAGATATTGAGCTGGTGACCTATGTCGCTTAGTGAACGTCAAAACGTTCATTGATTATTCCAATGCTGTGCTGCTATCCTTGTTTCCAACTCTCCAATGTGAAAGCTACCCCCAGAATGCTAGTCTTGCGCTGAATTACTGCGTCGAAACAAGTTCCGTGATTTTTAGTTGCTTGCAGTTTTGACAGTTGATAGACGAGAGTTATGCTTGAAGAACAGGATAGGAAATATCTCCAGAAGTTCGCTGAGATTTCGGAAGGGGTTGCCTGAAAGAGCGGACTGCGGTCAGCATGCAAGGGATTCATGTAACAGCGAAAGCGCTGGTCGCAGATCAGTTTGCGAGGGTGACTTCGTCCGTGTGCATTGGATTGGAATATGAGTTCTTGCAGGGCCTTGAAGGAATCTCGTAATTTTCTCGGCCGTCTGTGTCTCTCTAGTAACGAAAAATCCTCGCTTAGGAACTGTTCGGTGATGATTGACAGGAACTTTAATCGGTATTCCGTGAATGAAACTAGTGGGGTGGGGTGAGTGAACAGACCACACAAATTGTCATATTCAGGAGGAGAAACGCGTAAACGTTAGTGATTTTATCAACTAATTTCCTGAGGCATGTGCCTGTGACCGAAATTTTTCTACAAAACGCGGAAGGGAAGAAAATCTACGAAAAAAAAAAAGAATGGAAAAGCAGGCCTTATTATGGGCTTTTGTATGAATGTTCTTGAAACAATGTTGTAGAGTGTCTTCTCACCGATGGCCTTAGTGCGAACGGGAAAGGAGGCGGAAGGGTCTTCGGTTTCACAAATCCCACCCCGTTTCTTCCTGAATGTTTCTTGGTATTTAATAAGCTCCCTTCAATTTTAAATTATATGTGCTGTGTTGTTGGAGTGAAGGAGAGACAAATGGAAGTGCTCAACATGCGGAACGTGTGTAATGATCAGTTTGCTGCCAAAAACCGAAAAACGAGAGCGAATTGAGAAAGGAAATTTTCAGGTGATGTAAATAGTCAAAATCGACACTTTTTTTGTGAAATGTTGAGAGGAAACGAATGGGGCTTTAAGGATCTCTTTGACCTGCAATTTATTTTTTATGAGTTAAATTATTTTAATTTTACCTCTGTATGTCTTTTCGGTCAATTCACGTATCGAACATCTCCCTTGAACCTATGGATTTCGGGATTCATTTCTCTTCATTGTTTTCATTGTCTTACTTGAGAGCCGTTTTCAGTCACTTAGTACCTAGTTCTTGACGAGAGTTAAGTTAATGCATTTGTGGCGCTAGCCAAGTAACTAATGCCTGTTTTTCCCTATGAAGCGTTTTCCTTGCTCCAAAAAAATTAAGTATACGGGGGCGAAGTAAGCGGAAGTTTTCGAGTTGAAATCGAGGCTGTTGATGCTCTTGCGAACCTGGTAGTCAAACAATTGTTCCTCGGTTCTGAAACTTGTGTGGTTTTTAATATTGGCTTTTGGTTCGTTTGAAGCGTGAGAGGAAGGTTCGGGTTGTAGTGGCTTGATGAATTTACGGGCATGTGTTTTTTTTTTTTTTAGTAATAATAGGTTGGAACGTGTGCGTGGGTTCGGAAATTGGTGAACAATGTGTCCATATCCAGGTCTTGAAGACTGTCTCTCCCATTTGTAATGTTTGCCGCCCGTGCTCGGTTGTCAAGTTGCGTTTACCCCATCGTTTTTATTTTTGCGTGAAATTTTAAAGAGCCAGCAATCGAATAATTCAAATGAAAACTTGACTCACGCTTTCGGCTGTGATGAACGACGACCGCGACGGCGCTGTACAATCTGCTTTGTTATCCTTTTCTTTCTCTCTGTGGTCTTGAGAGCCTTTGAAAATTATATTAGCCATTTCGGTTAACCTGTTCCGCTTCCTCCTTTCTCATGTCCTGTTCCGCGAAGAACGAAGCAACGTGTCTGTGATATCGCTTTCACTGTTCGAAAAAGGATGAAATTGTCATTGTCCCCCTCCAGCAATTTTTTTTTTCTCGTGTGAATGGTTTTATCGTCCGGCTCATTCCGGCATCACGTTCATTCCGTATGTTTACGTCACGTCAACTTCTTCCTGCCTACTCATTTTCGTGACTGAATTAACGAAGTAAAATCCATCTTGGCAAGGATGCTCAGTTTTGGTTCGGAAACCTGATCGCAAATGTCGGGATACAATCATGAAGAAAATTGGAAGCAACTTGTTGGGTTGTTCAATGTGTCTTCCGAAGAAAGTAGTGGTTCGCTCGCTATCAGCTTTCGGGACTCCCATCTGGAAACTGTCGTTCATTCCTGTTCCATGACATCTTTTGGTCCCATTACGATCTTCGAGTGCAGTCCGGTGTTTTTTTTTTCAACGGTGGTGTCGCGTCTTCCAAAAAAAATTTTGCGTTTGATCCCAAGGCATTTTCTCTAAACTCGAGGCAAAAGATCAGATTTTAAGTGAAATTTTCTGCAAGGGATAAGGGGGAGTGCAGGACAGTGACTGTGAAAAAGCAATGGATGCAATCTAGTGGAGAGCATACTGAGTGGGTTTTTTGTGTGGGTGAGAGTCGCTAGTGTATCACACGTTGGGCCACCAGCCTTGAACTTGAAGAGCTCAACATTCGTCGGCGGCTTTAGGCGGTGGGAGTCGGAATTTCGCTCGGGTGAAACGGGGAAAGTACTGCTGTTACCGTTCACTTTGGTTCGATTCGTTGCGGTTTCTGTTTCGAATTGACCGTTTCCTCATCGGGTTATTACTGCCTTTTTCTTCACTCATTTCCGCATCGGACGGCTGGAATCTCATCCTGTTGATAAACGAAACTGTCGGCTTAGTGGGCATTTTTTTGAGAGGCCATTATGCACTGCAGCGCCGAAACTGCGCATTCTCCGATTAGACTCTTTTTTTCTCGCGTCGTATGTAGGAACTTCTCTAAGGTATTCATCGGACATATCGCCATTGTAACAATACGTATTTAAAGTTGGTATCTTGGTTTTTTCCGTGTAATTCTTGGGTTTCGTTGTAATAATTTTTTCTAACGTAGAAAGGGCTAGCTTTCTATGAAGGTTTCTATGAATTGTGTGATGTGGGTTTCCGTAAGTGGCCTTACTTGGCCTTTCCTGTCGCGTCTTGCCTGCATTGGGCAAGCGACGATGAAAGAAACTGCTTTCCCGCCGTTCCTTCGTTCCACAAGATCAAATGCTATACGTCTTGCCAAGTGGCGTAGGGTGTGGAAGAAAAGCGGCGATTTTTATCCGAGATATTTCGTGGGCCAGGAAATCGCGTTAGCACATTCCCGTGTGAGAAAAGTAACGGTTGTGTTGTGTTATTTGCAACAAGAGAAAGCTTCTTTTCGAGCGAGGAGAGAAGACGCAAGTTAACTAGTCTGCGTTTATTTCCCTCGCGTTTCTCGAACCCGAGAGCTTGGGTATCGGCGACCGCAGGAAGTTTAAAAGTGTGAGTGATTTTTTTGTTTATCAAGGAAAGCGCGAAGAAAAGCTTGACACGGGTTTCATGACGATTTTCATTAATGTGTTTTTGGGGAAATCGTGTGATGTAAGGGTTTTCCTTACGGGGTGTATTAAACGCGGTGTTCGTTTAGAGCTCCCCAGTCTGCGCCTTCCTCAGCAATCTTAAAAAGTCCATGCTTTATTGTTCTACCAGTCTTTTTGGTTGGTCATGTATAGTAACTTGTAAATTATCATTGCTCGTCAACGGTGGCCAATTGGTATGTTTGGTGGGGAGAATGATGTGGTGCTAATCTTGAACGGCTTCGATTCTGTTTGTTCTGTTTGACTGACATGGCAGTGTTTTTTTTTTCCTTCGAAACGTGTGGTTGCCGTTTTTGTTCGCTTTCTGCAATGAAAATCATGTACAAAGGGAAACAGCTCGTATAGTGGGGGTTGAAAAACAGTTGCGTTGAAAATTGATTACCACTGGTACGTTAGTTTTCTGTTCGAGTGTGGAATGAGAGGGAAGAAATCCAGGATTTGAGTCTCGGCTACGATCAGTGAGTGTGTGTAAGGGGAGAGTTGATAAAACTTCGTGCCTCTTTCGATGGGATCACTTTAACGTTTCTTTCATGGAGAAAATAATAAGTGCGACGAAGAATCTTCTTAGTATTTTCCGCCCTGTTTTTCACGGGACGTGTTCGTGTTTCCCGTTGGTCTGGCGTCTGTGATCGAGCCTGTCGTTGTGTCAATTTTTCGATGCCACTTCTGTGAGGGTTGTGAGGGTCTTGATCTTTGTCACTGTTTCTCCTTCCTCAATTTTCCCTTCCGATTTTTATTAAAATTCGTTTCGAACTTTTTATCGGAATAACGAGAATGAATCGATAACTTCCGAATGCTGGTAGTTATTGTAATTTAAAAGTTGGGCTTTCAGAGAACCAAATTTTATTTCGGAAGATTTTTGTCTCAAAAGTCGTGTTTTTTCCAACGATTCGCGAAGATAATGATGGCAGTTGTCACGTTGCTGCAATTCAAAACGAACTCCGATGTGTTTATTTCTCTTCGAGCGTGAATGAGTTCAGTGTGCAGGAGTGGAAAGTCTCGGGTCTGGGTTGCATTCTGTTTCTCTGCTGCCCAAATGATTACTAAGGTCACCTTTGCTTTGCGCCGCGAAACACGGAACTTGTATATCTGTGATTGATTTGGTGACTACAGGAATTCGTATGTGGTCTCAAGCATCAGGTGTGGCGCCGTGCACCTGTACAATCTGAGCTGTTGGCGTTTCTTTTTTTGTTCGTTTTTTCGAGTGAGCGTGAAAGGGATTTTAAGAGATGAGGTCCAAAGGAAGTATGTTGCCTGATCTAGCATAGTACTGTGGTCGCATGAATGCCTTGACACTGAAATGACGGCAATGTAAATTAAAAGTGTGAAGGGAAACTTTTATCTTGACTCGGTGCGCTTTTGTGTTTTTACTTGCAGCCATGTAATGATTTTGAGTTTAGGGTCACTGGTGTCGATTCCCAGTCGGAATTCCGTATTTTAAGGGCTAGTGGGGATGACGTTTGGTCAGGTCAAGTGTTCCCTCAGTAGCACACGATTATGTGAGAGAAAAAAACAATCGATGCAAGGAAATGTTCCTCGGTGTTAGTGTTTATTGCGTGAAATGTGTCTTTTTTGTAAACCACTGAAACATTTTTGTCGTGTTGTGTCGTGCTGGTAACATCTCAGCTGCGTGAAGTCGGCGACTTCTCTTTTTCTCTGAATGTTCATTTTCTGTATATGCTGCGCTGCGAATAAAGTATGAGCAACATTTCGAAAATGGTGTACGTTTTTGTTCGTCGTGGAACTTACGGTCTTACGTGACGCACGCTTATCCAAACTTGAACCTGATCGCGCCCACGAGAAAGGCGTGATTTTAAACATGTGCTCTACATTTCCTTAGAACATATTGCACCACTTCATAGCAGCAAGTCGGTACAGTAAAATCTTGAACTTATGGGATTTTCAGAAAATGACATTTTTACCGATTGAACTTTTATAAGGAGGTCAATCATGCATTGCATCAGTTGCACAAATCTCTTTCTGGTGAGGATGATGTGTGGATTCACTTGAAATCATGTCCTATCTGGATTACAGCCTCCATCTATGGTACCAGAACCGGTCAGATATAAATAATATCAGAAGTTTCAGACTTCGCCTGCAGGGAATGTCTACCTTGACAATCTATGTAAGATGATGATACATATATAGTTCTCTATTTGTACACACTGTATAAGAACCCCTGCAAAATTATAATGGAATTGGCAAGTTTTTTATAACAAGACTTTTCTAACAAATACTCCTGAGGGTTTTCTGCTGGGACTATAGACTCTAGACTCTAGAGGAAGAGTCTGATCCGAAATATGTTTGACTGGTTCTTGAACCATGCTTCCAAAAAGGCTTTACACATCATCCTCTTAGAATGAAGAGATTTATGCAACTGATGAAATGTATCATTGAATCTAATTTTTTCCAGAAGATCACTCACTTTTTCAAACAAGAACAAAAAATCTGAGAATATCAGAGAGCAAGATCTAATTGATTATACAGACAGGACTGATGTGCATATTTTTTCCGGTCATTAATTTTGAATATCTCATCATCGCAAATTATTCAGTACAACGAACTTTTTTGAAGCCCCCAAAACTTTGTTGTGACAAAATTTTAATTCTTCTCTTTTCCAGCCATGCATTTGCGTTGAAACGAAGGGATCCCTCTTTTTCTTGGATAGCAGCTGCGGAGTGACGCCGAGGCCTGATGCTGGCCTCCCACGGGTCTTGCTGACTCAGTTTTAGGTACAGTATCTGGAATATTTTTACAACCAGAGTTTTATTTTCGAAATTCCGCAAAGGGGAGGAGCTCTCATGGCCCCTCCGCTGGCTCGTGCATAGGAACAGTTGTGTACACTCGGTTGGACGGATGTCCCTCTGGCAGCTGCTTGCTGGCTGCTCCAGTTGAAAAGAAGGCAGCAACCCGGAGTCCAGCTTCGAGTCTGCATTGTTCGCTCTTCTATAGTGAAACGAGTCGCTGGCTTGTATATATAGCGTGGCATCTATATTACGGGTCCCGAACCGGGTTCCTTTTCCCTCCAACTATCCAGACGTTTGTTCAGATCATGAAAATCCTGTACTGTTGAACCTCGATAGCTCCAACCTTTCCGGGTCGAATACTTCCCTGTGTCGAACTTTTAAAAAATATCCCCGTCTGAATTACCATAAAAACTATGCTTTAAAAACCTCCGTAACTCGAAGTCTTTCCCTCTGAAACCTCCGGTAATCGAATTTTCTGGAGGTCTTTTGGCTATTATTTTATTGACATGAAAGAGAAAAGCAATAAAAATGTTTCTTCATGCGTTTTGAAAGGATGTGAAAGACTAATAAATGGAAAAATGAACCCTTGCATCCAAGTGTGGCATCCTTTCAACTCAGTCAAGAATTAATTCGAAGCCCAGCATAATATCACCAACTAAAATTTCCTATAAGTTTTCTTTCTTCCCCCCCCCCAGCAAAAATATTCGTTCCCCTCACCCAGAACCTCCGTAAATCGATTTTTTTTTCGTGTGCTGGTCACTTGAAGTTCGACTTGAAGTGGTTTGGCTGTATTTCGAGGTCTGCTGAGTTCAACTCGAGTTGCATCACACATGCCTCAATGGAAGCAGCAGTTGGTACTCGTATATACAAGAAAATTACCAAGCATAAATAATTCGTACTTGATAAAACTTGATTGCGACAGAGATCATTGTATTGTGACGATATGTGTGGTTCACATTTTTCTCTCGGTGATGGATTTTTTCTTCAGCGAATGATGGCTTTGACAACCCGGAAGTAACTGTTGAAATTACTCCACAAGTGCCGTTTCCAACTTTCGAAGAAAATGTAAAAAATTCCCCATCAAAATAAGTACTGTAATGTGAATCATCAACTTCTACTTCTTTGCTTCAAATTTTGAGGAACAAAAAGTACTTCTGGCAAGCGGAATCTGAAGTTTCTTTCAGATTCCTGAAAATAGTTACGTTTTTGAGGATAGGGGGTTTTTTAAACGACCTATTACAATTCCTGATAGTTTGGTCTAAAATCCGTAGGTTTAGAATAGTAAATGGTGTTGAGCGTTTATAAAGGTTCAATGGGCTCTCGTCATTATTACGATACACAAAAAAACAAAAAAATGAATCCCTATATACTGTACTGTAGAAATATTATTTTTGTATATCAGTTGAACTTTGATATAAAAATGTCTATCATATCAGAAAAAAATATTCGTTGCATGGATTCTGAATTTATGCCTAATTTTTTTCGCTCTTACGCTGCCATTCTTTTAAATCGGTTTCGTGTAAGACCAATTATTGAAACGGCTCTTCATCTGCCAAAATCGCCATGTCAGTATGCCGCTGCATGAACTTTTCATTTTTTTTTTTTACTTCTATGCGCGAATAGCACGTGTTAGACGAATATTCCCCCTACATTTTTAGCGACGAGCTGGAACTTGTCGAGTGTTCCAATAAGCAGTGAGTGAACGGAATTCGTATCGAAGGAAGAAAGAAGTCTAAAAAATGCTGCTCAAGAGACACCTAGACTTATACACTATCGCAGACCCTTTTGCCCTGAAAACCCGGTTCTGGTCCTGGTATCAACGAGCGCTTCGAGGTGAGAATTTATTTTCCTTCCAGTAATATTATTTGTGTGAGTTCAGTTTGAAGTAGATAATCAGGGTTGAGTTTCTTTTGGCATTGATCCTTTTCAACTTCCGCCAGGCTTTGGCTCTAGATCTGCTCAATGTGTCGGCTGCTTCGAATGATATTTTACTTTTATTATTTTTTCCTATACTGTACAAAACTTAGCAGCTTTTTATCCCATTTTTTCATATATTTATTATGGTTGATTAAAATTATTTGCTTGAGTCTTGGAACTCTCGTCAAGCTGTTGAAGGTGGGCCTTATTTTTTTAAACAATAAAACAGCATTTGACGATTTCGGAACCCATACTCAATTCTGCACGCATTTCGCATTGGATATGCTGTGGATTGGAGAGCTGAGAGGATAAAATTTGCCTCCCGTCATTGTGGCGGAATAAGGTTCCCTTTTCCTGTTCGAATTTTTTCATGACAGCGAAAATCCAAGAGTTTCCACATACTGTATTTAGAATAGCTGAAATTATTGCATTGTTTGGCTTGATCTTCTTAAATATGTCTTACATTTGATAACCATGTTCCAATGAAATTAAAGCCCTGAACCGCATTAATTGAATTCCGCGTGAACGCTGTCCGAAAATGTTAACGGGCAAATGAAAGGCAATAAAGATAATTCATGGAATATTCGAAGGAAACCCTCATTAAATAAACTGAGGCTCGTTTTAATTCTTGAGGCTTGAAAAACGCCAATGCTGAACCTGTGTACCCAAAGAATTGAAATGAAGGTATAATGACGACGAACAATTTATTAAATTTAATTGAACGGTCCCTGCATGGTGCCGTAAGATATCCAGAACGAATTAGGAAAATATTCGAGAAAAAATGCGTGTTACTCATGGATTCCGTTTTTATCCGTATCTTTCAAAGCATTCTTTATTGTTTTATTTGCGATATTTCGACTGTCGAAGCCAGTTTTTTTTTATCTCATTTTAAAAAGCCTTTGTGCCGCGGTTGAAATTCAATAGTAATAAATCATTTCCTATATTCACGTTTCTTTTTCTCGAATGGGACCAGTTAGCAAAAAAAAAAAAAAATTTACTGGTGTCAAAGCGTTCGCCAAGTACTGTTCTGTACTGAGCATGCAACGGGACCATTCATGAACAGGAAAAGCTTTCCTAGCAAAATCAGAACACGTGTCTGCCATGATGGAATTTTCGTCCAAAAACTTATCGTTTTCTCCTCCCTTGGAAACTTTCTCCGGTGATGGGTCGAGAATACACTGCTGACGGAAGTGCAAATTTTTTCAAGGCGGAAAAAGCGGGAAACGAGCGCCATGTGTCTTTTTCAGACAGAAGGTTAAAAACGGGGGAGAAAATGAGGGTTAGCAGCAGAGGAAGGTCGAGAGCAGCAAAATAAGACGAAGGACGACGCGCGGGAAACTTCCGCGTGTCTGTTTTTTATTTTTAAATTTATATTTTTAAATACAGTATTTTTTTTTTCAAAGCTCAAACTTTGTTACAGGAAATGGAACTTCCTGGAGCGGTCCTTGACATTGAGGACTCGCGGCGCTAAAAGCTAGGGAATTCGAGAGAATTTCGAGGAAAAAGTCAAAGCGGCGGCACGCGTCGGAGGCTTTTCGGCGGCAATTTGGACGCGTGCCAATGACGCGGAATTTCGCGGCTCTCGAAATAGCTCGGCTGACGCACGCATTTCCTTCCAGTTTTTACTTTTTTGCGTGTTTCGTTTCCGCCGAAATTTGACTCGACACCCGTTTGCGAGTCGGCCAACCCCGGGTCACCCCTTACTTCGGACTCCAATTTCGGAGTTCTTGGTCATATAACCGGGAACCTGGTACCCTTTCTTGAGCTGCTTCGGGCCGGGTTCACGTGCACTAGTTACATAATGAGGTCCCGAGTATTTTTTTTGTCAGCCAGTATTTCTTCTATCCATTTTTTTTTACCAAACGTACGGGGTAAGATAAATAGAGAAACCAATAGAAATGCATTTACTGTATTAGAAAACGATAACGTATTTGAATAATAGAACGCAGTATAAATCGTTCCAAAAACTGGAAATGCCGGAATGAAGCCGAATTCTGGCTCTTGAGCAAAAGCTCAATGCAATTGAATGGTATTCAATGTATTGGGTATTTATTTTTCATATACATTTTGAGTGGGCCATTTGATAAACACGTACCTCTGCATGGAACAGGTTGACAAAACTTTTGAAGATTTTTCTGCATGAGCTGTGAACAATGTGGAGTTAAAAGTGAGCTAAAAATTGCTGACTATATTTCCAAGTATTTTTGTGATAATTATGCAGATATTCGTATAATTACAGAATTTAATATTCATTCATTTATATCAAAGCAGAGATGGGCATTTGAAAAAAATGTCCGGTCTTTATTTAGTTGGGAGTATAAGTACTTTATAGTCATTTAATTACGGGATATTATTGAAAAAGATGACCATTTTAAAAACGTTTACGGGTTTTCATATAGGAAAATATTCATTCATTCATGGTAGAGAAAATATGTACGTATTAGAGGGAAAAAAATGTACCTGAAGAGTTGAAAGAGGAGCATTTCCCAAACAAGGAATAAATCAAGTTTCCTATGTTTGTATTCTCAATGAGGAATGATTCGTCCCAAGTTCTCATTTTCTGACACAGCATCATTGGCCATCTATTGAAAAATTAATTCCAGCCGTGTATCCTGAAGATTAATTGTATGATGTTAGAAATGTGTCCTTACAAAATTAGCTTTTTTCTGCGCTAAAACGTTGTCTTCATGACATAATCGTACTGCCGAAAAATAGACTGGATATCATCATTCATTTTTCTGGGTTGAAAAATCTAAACCTAAGTTTTAAAGATTCAACCATCAAAAGTAATTCTCGAATTAGCGCAATACAGTATTTCGAAAGTTGATTTATCAAGACAATAGTAGATGAACCGTTCTTAATCATAGAGCACCGATAACCTGTACAGTTTTTTATTGATGCATGCGACTCATTCGTGTTCAGTGTACAGTATATAACTTATACCAGGGGTTTTATCCCTATTTTCACCCAAGTTGTTGAAAATAATACATAATTATGGCGAAAATGGTTTTGCAGGCACCGATCGAGTGGTAGATGTTCTATCAAGACCCTACTACACAAAACCTCTTTCATACAAAGAAGTTGACCCGTATTTCTTGGACCCTTATTACTTGGATGGCAAATACAAGGTCAGCAGTAAGTACATCCCAAATGTTATTATACTCCTTACCCCGTGTCAAAGTACTGTACAACTTTCCCTTGCACTTATTGCTGAACTCGAATAAATTCTCGAATAAATGGAGCATTCTAAAAAGCGGTTGCCCGCTTAAATAAAAATCCTCGGTGTGCCACGCGCAAAATCTGAATAGAGTAAACAGTTTGATGTTTTTATTCGAGTGACTCGCATTACTAAAACCCCGACCCCCGTTTCGAGTATACAGCAGTATATATACTAACAAATAAAAAAAAGAAAGAAAAAAAAAGAATCCCATTTGAAATAGGCGCTGACTCACAAAGCATTCATCTTTCTCATCCTCCGTCATCGTCAAGGTTTGCCAACAACAACACGGTCTGGTCAGCTGAGAACCCCGCCCTTGGGATTCTATAACCAAGATGTCAGCCCGTACCGCACGGGTGCAGGCGTGACCCGGGACCCGTGGTGGTGGAGCTACCCTCACTTGAGGCCGTACCAGGCTTCCAGCTACCCCTACCGCAGCTTCATCCCCAGCTACTCTTACTTGTCACCTGTGAAGCGATCCTACGTGTGGAACACACGCCCGCATCGTCCAATCAGTGAGTGTATATATCTAGAACAATTTCGACCAACTGCCTGTAATCACTCATAATTAACTGATAATGAAGGTCTCAATAAGGTCCGTGTACAAGTACTCTGCAGGAGCTGGCTGAATTACAGTATTTAATTTTATTTCTATGTTGTTGTTGACGCCAGTTTCCTCAGCTCAGTTCAAGTATACCGCACCGCTGGGAGTTGAAACTCGTACATAAAATTTCGCCAATTTTATTTTGCATTGAAAATTCGACTCCTTCTAAAATTTGATCGCTCGTTTGTTACAGAGGAATTGAAGCCGCGAATCATCACAACGATTATTTTTATAATGAAATATTTTAGATCAATTTTTTCAATTAATGCTTGCATTTAATTAAGTACTGTATGCGTAAAATTTAATTCACAAGGTTAGGCGTCAAATGATTCCTAGAGGGGATATACGTTATAGCGTGAGGATATAATTTTATATTTTAATGTGAATAACGTTTGAATTTTGTTAATTGTATACGATCAAAAATTTCAAACGTTATTTTTAAAAATTTCAAATTTATAATCAGGTATATATACCTGATTATAAATTTGAAATTTTTTTTCGGTCGCTACTTGAAGAACCGGAAACGTTTTTGCAATGTGAACATGGACGACCTGTCGCTCTCATTCAAAGTAACTTGCGAAAATTGAGCACTTTTTCGCTAACCTGAGACTGCTTATCAACGATTTGCTCGTATAACGATTTGTCAATTTTGTGTCGGTTCAAAAAAAATTGTGAACGTCTTCACTCTTCTTTTTTTTTAGGCTGGCGAGCGTACATATAATCGACATGGATCCGCAAAAAAAAAAAGGAAAACCGTTCACCTCGCGACTGGATGAAGAAATCAAGTCTTGAGCAATAAAAATCCCGCTTTTTACCCCAGTTTCCCGTTTTGAAGTATCAAGGAAGTGTTGGCACTCACCCAGACTGTTTCGCACAATGTTTGTCCTCATTTTTTCTTTCGAAATTGTGAGAACACCCAGAGAGCTTGCTTTAATCTTTTGAGGAGTTTTTTTTTTTCGTCCGCCAACTTAGCTCACAGGACTCATCGGATGTTGGCGCATTGGCTGTCTTCCCTGCATTTCTGCATTTCTGCAAATCTTCTTTCCTATTTGTACTAGGCGCATGAATACTCATGCGCAAGTGCTGTAATATTGCAGTAGTTTCACCGACATATTGTCGGAAGTGAGATTGATATCCCCTCTTTTATGCACTGAAGCGTCTAATTTTGATTAGCTGAGGACGTGATGGCGGCACAGATGGCAACACTGTTGGGGCCCGTCTATACTCGACGTAATTTTGAGGAAACATAATGGGTAAATTAGAGAGGCTTCACGATTGGAGTCGAGCTCATTTTACCAAAGAAGGATGAGCAACTAACAATTCACCAGCACGTGAGATTTCTTTTTCCGGCATACTACTTTTTGTGCTGTGGCTAATTATTATTTTTTGTGATTTCTGTGAATACTTTCGTACGCGAGTCTCTTTCCAGAATTCGGATTCGCGTGGTGGTGGGCACCAGCTCTCGCTATAGGCTTTTCTAAGCGAAGAATTACTTTGGAGCCGGATTCTGCGTTTATGAAATACAAGCACTTTTTTGCATAGCATACCGTGTGATTTTTCTTTTTTTTTTGCGGGGTTTTTCAGTGCATCATCAATGTTTTCAATGGAGAAACTCGATCATCATATGCAAGGGTGCTCGTCAATAGGGGTTCTGGAGAATGTTGCCAGTCCGCAAACTGTTTATGTTGGTTGCATGAAAAAAATTAAAAGTGTAGGCCAGTGATTTTCTACCTTTTTGACTGTTGGAGCCGTTTCGGAATGCATTTCTAGTGATTCCCGCGGGAAACACAGTCAAATATCTTCAGGTGTCGAACTATAAGGAACCCATACAAATTCAACCTGTTGGAGTTTTTGAGTTAGAGAAATGAGCATTTTCTCAGGAAAAAATTAAGAATTTACTGGAAGTAAAAATAATTATTTTAATCTTCTGGGCCTTAAACGGCTGGTTAAATGAATTGAAAGAATTCTAAAAATTTCGACAAGGGTTCATTTTCCCAAGAAGTCACTCTCTTCCTTTTGCGAAGCATCCTGTTAAATATGTTTTGCTCTTCCCCTCGCTGGATCTCAGATAATAGCCCACACGCGAGTTTACGAATTTGAGTTATATAAATTCAAAGCTTATCATGAGCAAATTTTTTGAATAAGAGAGATCTTTAATGGTTTGATCTTAACTCTTGAGGGAATGCAAACAGGGGAGTAGAAAAAATTGACATTCTGGGATCTGGGGAGGTTTTTGATTCTGGGAAACTTGAGTTATCCAGGTCCAACTGTTTCATTTAAATGAATTATTATTTCCATGCAAATGGGAATTAAGTTGGTTTTCATTCAGACCCATGCTCGAAATCAATCGAATTTATAGTGAGTTTCTGACACGGACCAAAAAGCTCAACAATTCCGCAATAATTGAACAAGGGCAGCAGAAAGTTCATACATGTTTTACTCGTCACCGTTAATTTTTTGTGTCAATCAGACGTGCTGCACTCCAAATTGATTAAATACATTAGAACATATAAGTTGAGCAGAGTTCAATTTGACGACAAAATCTCATGTCTTTTTAAATGGATAAAATAGCTTTTCAAATACAGTAGTTCCATATATAGATATACATCAATGATAAAATCTCGCACCAGAAAACGGGATTTTGGATCAAGACGGAAGTCTAAAAATGAATATACAACAGATGCAATCTCGCCTACCGACTGTCCTGATACGTTTCTCATTCGACGAGAGCACGATATTCAAAGCAAAATGCTGTGAAGGTCAAATCATTAGCAAATTAAGGGGGTTATTCTAAAATTTACCAGTTCGTCATCGAGATGGCCGACGAAACTCCGGCTAATGTGGAAGAAGGTACCGCTGACAATAATAAGTCCGCCGCTGGCAGCAAAAGGGCCAGCGATGTCGGGAAGGAGTCCATTCACAGCATCGCTCGCCAGTCGTGGGGCAGCGACTACGAGTACCTTCTGTCGTCAATCGGCTACGGGGTCGGCTTCGGAAATGTGTGGCGGTTCCCGTACCTGACGTACCGCTACGGCGGCGGCGCCTTCCTCATCCCGTTCATCTTTTTCATGTTCTCCGTGGCGCTGCCGCTCATGCTGCTCGAGAGCTCAGCATCGCAGTACGCCGGCATGGGCCCACTGCACTTGTACGGCAGTATATGTCCTGCCTTCAAGGTTCGCCCGTTTTTTAGCGTGTAATACAGTGAAAATGAAAAGTGCGCTTGTTCATGTGGAGAACAACACGTGCCCAAATTTTATCGAGAAAATAAACAGAATACCGAATACAGCAGTATGTAAAAGTATACATGGAGGATAATTTTTCTCGCGAGGATGATGCGCAAGGGTTGCATACACTGGTGACATCTACAAGAGATTAATGAAGCACCCTACTGATTGGTGTTAACTGTTGAGACGGCGCGCCGCTTTCCTCGTGCAATGCAGAAAATTCTCGCATATTCCTGTCGAGATTCTCGAGAACAACACGTGTCCAACTTCTATGGAGGGAGGTACAGACTATCGAATAGTTTAGGATTTTTATGTGAATGATTTTCTCGCGTGGATGCGCAAGGGCTGGAAATAACGTAGATGTCACACACTGGTGACCTCTACGAGAGAAAAATGATCAACATTTCAGAGTGAAAAATTTACTGGGATGTACAGTATGTCTTATACCAAGGGCGCTCAATATACTCGAGTAAAAATGCTACTCGCTAATATAACAAGTCCAACTCACGAAGATAAAAATATGCTACATTTATCACCCTAAGATTGAATCAACTATCTAGAATTAAAGGAACAGCGCGAGATGCAATCACTTCCCTGCTGAATGCAATTTTCGTCACCGGTCTTTCTTGTACAGTACTGTTGAATCAAACATTTGATCATTTTCTTGGATTTGTTTCTGTCCATGAATGTAAAGGGACTGGGAATGACGACACTTTATATTTCATTGGCAAACTCGGTGCAGTACATTATAATATTGGCATACGTGGTTCGGTATACTGCTACATCCTTCACCCGGAAGTTACCATGGGAAGAATGCAGTCCGTTGTTAAGTTACGACGGCTGCTACGGTAGATGTCGCGGGCAGCCGAAAGACAAAAAGTACGTCGTGTTCGGCAAGGCCTGTCATCCCGCGGAAGAATTCTGCACAACTGATCCAGCGACCAAGCTGGTGCAATGCAAAACCAACAACGGGACGGAACTGAACACCCAAGACGCGGCTTTTAGCTTTTTCTACGACCAAGTATAATAGCTTCTTTGTTGAAATTTTTTGAATTTTTCTTGCCTCAGGTCATGAGCAGGTGGTGGCCTGCAATTTGACCCTAATCCATTGCCAGGTAAGGGTTGAAGAGGTTGGATAGCGAGACAATTTCAAAGTTGATGTTTTCTGCCTCAAATTTGACATTTTGAGTCTTGATCTCTGCAGGTTGTATTGCAAGTCGACGTTCCAGCAAATGTGACCATTGAATTGCAGGATGTTCAAATTGCAGGATGTCAGATTGCAAACCACCACCTGTGTTGTCATCATTTGTGGACATTTTTATATTTTTAATTCATTCAAAAACTTCTTAAAATTCAAATTCTGAGGGACCTAAAAATATTCCTCTTGAGTTTTCAAGTTATGGGGTGAGTTGGGAGTTTAGTTCGAAAAAAAAAATACAGGGAGGTGAAATAGGTGATCGAGTGGGCCTAATATGAAAGGTTATGTAAATGAGGTAACAGGATGCTGAACTTGGAGGCAAATGTTCGTTCACTCAATTAGTTGATCACTTCCTGCTGAAAAGTATCAAATAACATTTTTATTGTTCTATTTCCTGGGTTCCTGGATTAATGGCTCAAAGTCCTCAAGAAATCGGAATTTCAGAAATTTGTGTCTATAATTCCTCGAGGGGATTCATACAGGGACTAGAAAAAAGTTACACATAGGGAGGTTTTTGACTTGGACAGGCTAAAGTTACTTAGGTCCATTCTATATAGACATCTGAAAAGTAGCAACCCCAAGCAGCAACGCGCTGTGATCACTTACACTTGAAAAGCTGATGCTGTTTTTTTTTTTCACTTGCAATTTTCCTTGAAGGTCCTCGACATGCGACTGAAAGATGGTAGTGTCTCCTTGTTCGAGACGTCTTACGGACATCTGGTGCCAAAACTTTTTCTCTCGGTGTTTGCGTCCTACCTTATTACTGGATTAGTGCTGCAGCACGGAGTGGCGACTTCGGGAAAAGTGGTGTATTTCACTGCCACGTTTCCTTACCTGGTGTTGGCCATCATGCTGATTCGGGCCGCGACCTTGAACGGATTTCTGACAGGGATCAAATATTACCTAAAGCCGGACTTGTCCAAGCTTTGGACCTTTGAAATTTGGTACAGTACAACCTCTATTTAGTGCCATAATTTGTCCTTGAATAATTTGTGGCTCTAAATCGGGGTTATTGTATGAGATGAAGGCTCAATTGCCAGCAACTATTGTAAGGAAAATAAGCTTGTTTGTGGAATTTTTAGGCCATTGATTCTTTTTTATGAGAGAGATAACCCCACTGTGAAATAATTTGAGACTCAAATGCACTGTTTTTATACCCTACATCAACTTTTTTTTCTTCAAATAATAGACAATTTTACATTTGTGCACATTTCGTGTTGAGAAAAAGAGCAGAGCTGTTTCTTTATATTTTAAAACTCAATATTTCAATGAAAGCACACAATTTCAAGGTTTTGTAAAATCCTCAGCTATAAGATGCTTTTCACTTTGAAGAGCATATAAAACGTGGCACGCAATCACGTGAGAAGTCAGCAATTTTTTTCCAAAATTATCCCTAGTAGAGGCATGTGCTCCTCATCAGCAAAAAGTTAAGTTCTAAGAACCAAATGATATACCCAGAAAGAGGCCTCAATTTATTCAATTTAGGCCCATTTTTTATTGAAGACAAGAAATGTTTTGTGGCACAGTCTAAGGGAGTTGTCACTAGATTGGGGTTCCAATCTTGGGCAAATAATGGAGGGAGATTTGTTTCAAGGAAATTTGTGGCACTATACAAGGGTAGCACTAAATAAAGGGTATTTCTAATACACATGAACACTCTCTACAACAATCTTGTCTACAATTATAATTTCTCTTGCATAACAAATTTGTTTCTGATCCCTTGAGTTTTGTTGAAAAGAGAGTCCACCTGTATATGAAATATTGCAGTGTTCCCCAATACCTGTGGTTCATGGACCAGCGCTGGTGTGCAGAAGATTTTTGCCAGTCCGCAGGAAAATTTCTTGATTTCTTCCACATAATACATTTATTAGATGTAGTAATGAAGTCTGTTGTCTAAATCCAAAATTTTGGAGACAATGGCAGTTGAAATTATTTGATGAAAATACAGTAGATTGTTGGTTCTTCTCCTAATAGCAATTCAGAAATATTTTTACCTGCTGAAATATTTTACTTTGTTTTCAACCTAAGAAATCTTTCTTCAAGCCCAGCATCCTATTTTTAAAAAGACATTTCCACTTCATCAGCTGCTTCATGGTTTCTCAACTCAATTCTGCAATAAATATTTTGTTCTGAGGGCTGTATGGTAGATGTTTTAAAATTTTCTGCTGCTGGTCATCAACAATAGTTGTATGGAAGGTAGCTGGTCCATGGAAAATTTTTTGAAAATTTTCCAGTCTGCAAAGGATTTTATTAAAATTTACTGGTCCATGAGCCCAATAAGGTTGGGGAACGCTCACATTGTATTTTCGTGACGATTTTTTTTCACAGTCAAGGATCAACGCAAGTGTTGTTGATATAACGTGCATTGCTGACAAGATTTATGAATTTCTCCAGGTACCAAGCGTTGAGTCAGACCTTTTTCTCCCTCGGCGTGGGTTTCGGCGGCCTGATGACGCTGTCGAGTTACAATCGGTTCAACGCGCCGATGCTGAAGCTCTGTTTCACCGCCGTCATCGTCAATGTTTGCACCTCCCTTTTCGCCGGCTTTGTCATTTTCGGGTCCCTGGGCTACATTGCCGATGAAACTGGCCAGAGCATAGACAGCGTGGCCGGCAGCGGGATGAGTCTGACCTTTGTCACGATCCCAACCACGTTGTCCATGTTGCCGGCTGCCCCGTTCTGGGCTGTGCTCTTCTTCTTCATGCTAATCACTGTCGGCATCGACACGCAAATGGCGGACATGGAGACGCAAATCACGTCTGTGCTGGATCACTTCACCTGGATGCGTGCCTACAAATCGTTCGTCACGCTTGGCGTGTGCTGTGTCGGCATGGCTGTCGCGACGTCAATGACGTTTCAATCCGGTAATAAAGCTGTTCACAGCGTACATTGTTCACCAACCCGTGGGTGGCGGACTGGAGCCGATCCTCAGAGACTTTCTTCCAATCTGCGGGGAATTTTCTGCATCATAATACATTTATAAAAAGTAGCAATAAAGTTTGTTACCTCTATCTGAAATTTTGGAAAGATGATGACAGTCATGAATTATCTGATGAAAAGTAAAAGGGAGCTTTTCTTCTTCTAACACCTTCAGACAAATTTTCACCTGTTGAAATAAATTATTTAAATGTTTCATTCTGAGAAAATTTTCTTCAAGTCCAGCTTTCCAACTCTTTGAAGACATTCCACTCTAACTGCTTTATTATTGGTTCTTGACTAAATTTTTGCAAAGAAACATACAATTTTTGAATACCCACGTACCATACAGTTTTTCAAACAAAACGTTCTTGAGTAATCTGGAAAAATTGTATGAAACTTTGCTGGACTGCAGAATTTCTTTTAGAGATTGACCAGTTAATGGGCACAAAATGGTTGGCGAACACTGGTTTGGAGCCCACAATTTGTGTGGCAATTATGTTGGGTTGTTCTTTGCTGTGAAAGAAAGTCCTCACTTAATTGTTCCTCTTAAAAGAAGAACTACAGTGACAGCTCAGATTTAGTCAAATGACTAATATTAGACATTTTAGTGCGCTTTCCCTGGTCGAGGTGCCGTGTTAACTCAAATATATATAAGATTCGTCTCCCGACCAAGAATTATGCTTCAAAATTCAGGAATAATGATGGTACTGTATTTTGCATTCGAAAATGACACGTTCTCATGGCAAGTTCATGTTTGCTTTTGCGTTCTGACGAACAATAAATTATTCTGAATAAAAATTACAGCAAAACAATTAAACCTATCCTTTTTTGATTTGAGGAAAACAGAGCTAGAAAACAGCATCTTGTTTGGATGTGTTTGGTGATAAAGGTGGTATTTGAAGCATTATCAAACGATTTCCTCAATTATAAAGTACTTTAAAAAAATGAACTCAATGAAGTTAGAGGTATATTCGCCGGCAAAGTCTTCTTTCGATGCATGAGACAAATAGATGTGTTTTATATTATTGGTGGTGACGTCTTTTATTCGAATTAAGATGTGTACATCAAGTTATCGGCAATTTTAAGCTTTTTTTTCCGTCTGAGATCTCAACCCCCCCCCCTCCAATCTCAAATTCCAATATTAAAATTTAGTAGTGTATATCGAATGATGTGGGAAACATTTAGGGGATCTGGAGAGGAAAATCGCTTTAAAATTTGGCTTCGATCCTTCCCAGATTTTTTTAGACAGGGATCCCCTACCTTTTTAGGCCAGTATGTGGACCAGCTAATTTTCATGAAGCTTTTGCAAGCTGCCAAATTCCCACAAAATGTTCTGCGGACCAGCAAAGTCTCATAAAATGTTTGCAGCTTCAAAAAAGTTTTGCTTGAAATACCTTATGACAGGTATTTGAAAATTTCTTTACAAAAAATTTAATTTGAGCACCAAGGAAGCAGCTATAGCTGAAAGAATGGTGGACTTGAAGAAAGGTTTAGCAGAATGAAAAAAATAAAGAATGCATTTCAGCAGGTGAAAATTCATCTGAGCTGTTATTATATATAGGAGAAAAGCCAATTTTATTTTCCATGAAAAATTTTCAACTGCCACTGTTTTCTCAAAATTTTAGATAAAGATAAAAGACCATTGCTATTTCTGATAAATTTTTTATGTTGAAAATTTCTTGCGGACTGGCAAAAACTTCTGCGGACCGGCGCTGGTTCTCGGACCATGGGTTGGAGAACACTGATTTAGGACATGCTGTTAACTGCTGTAATTCTTGGTCTTAAGTTATAAAAATCAAGTTTTACATAAATAATTGAGAAAATGTTCAAATATTCTCTTCTGGCAGGTTTATGGGTGAACGCATTGTTGAACGACTACGCAGCAACGGCACCGGTGTTGCTTTTGGCAATGTGCAACGTGCTTGTGATGGCTTATATTTACGGGTGAGCATATTCCTTAAAGATAAACAATTGAAAAACTTCGTAAGCTCACTTACTGATTCAATTTTTAAACCTCAAAATCGATGATTATGACCTGAAAAAGAAATGTTATTCTCTACATTTCATTCGCAATATGTAGATCAGAGAAATAGCTTGATACTTGTTTGTATTATTTTGTCTTGAAGCACTAAGTTCGAGTTCACTCATTGATCACATTTTTAACCTCAGAGTAGAGTACCGTATTATGCCCCTAAAAACGAAATTTTGTTCTCTACATTTCATCAGTCGCAATGTAGAGCAGCGACATCGTGTGAAATGGGCACGTACTTCTATTAATTCGTCATGAAGCACAGAGTTTCTGAATTTTGAGCGATCCATTGATTTCTAATTTGAAAAATGGTTCTAACGTTCATCAGTTCGTAGCGTTTTTACTCCGATGAGTGACGACAAAGACTATAGATTGTTTAAGCTTGAAATACAAGTGTACTGGTGCAGGTAAAGCATTTCTGCCGTGAACAGCAGGATTTTAAAGATTAAAGTAGCAGCATATTCGCCTGGAAATCCAAGCTTTAAAATCGCACGAATGTACTGTATTTGGCATTGCTGAATGCAATTTTATTTGCGTTAAATAAAAAGATGTTGAAAATTCAAATAGCTTCGCGAACCTGCGTTTTAATTTTAAAAAATCGCGGACAGCACCAACAATTATTTGAACTATGAGTTAATAGAGGACAGTTTTCGTGACTGAGATTCAGTTTTTAAAATTTATTCAAAGTAGTTGCGGATAATTGTTCACGTGCGGTATTTCAAATTAAACGGAGTTGCTGCGACACGTGTTTGTACAGCAACTCAAAATTCTTAATGTCTGGTTTTCCTGCGTTCAAGATACAAGAACATGCTGATTAACCTTGAGGACATGGTGGGTCCTTTGAGGAAACCGGTACGATGGTACCTCATGTCCACCTGGCTCGTCATTGCACCGCTTTTCACCATTGCTCTTTTGATATACTTCTTTCTGGATTTCACCGGAAGTGTTTACGACAAGCCAGGGCCTGATGGATTATACCCTTCATGGGTTCAGAAAATCGGCGTCTTCCTCGGGGCGATCCCTCTTATATTCATACCTATCGGGATGTCTCATCAGGTTCATTTTTTGAAGCTCGTGATTCGATTTGAAAAAAGCTTTTGTGAGAAGCTTGAAGAAAGCTCAAATTCTGTATCTGTTTAGTGATGAGTTTTTACTGTGCGTAGTAGTAATTTTAAAAATGTGATTTCGAAAGGCGGCATGGATAATTTCCTTAGAGAAAAAAGGGTGTTATCCAGCGCCTATTTTTCCTTGTAAAATAAAAAAACCCCCACAAGATCAATCACTCACTAAATCCAAGCAAAATTGTATCCTTTTTCTTGCTTTCATCGGAACAGCCTAATTTTCATACTTTGTATACGCTGATAAGTGCAAGACATTTCTAAAAAAAAAGAAAATGCTCAGAAACGATTTGCGTTGATTATGCAAACAATTTCAGTTTTTGTTGTGCAAAACACTTCTAGCTCTGGGTATCAAAAAGAAGCAACCCTACCAAGTCGATGCGGGAAGTTTTTTTCAACATGTTTGTTCCGGACAAAGACTTCAAACCGAGGACTGAAAAGGAAGATGCTGGAAGAATATCTTTCTTGGAATTCCTGCAACCAAGTCATCCAACGGATTACGTCCCACCTAAGGGAATGGCGACTGATGATTCGAGCTACAATGGGCCAAACGACGGAGAGGATGGAAGAAATTGAATACCAGCGTTTTTGTTAATTTTAATCAATCCTTTGTTGTGTGTTCCATATTCAACTAATTGTTCCTTTGTATATTAAACTTATACTTTTTGAAAGTTTTTGAAAAATTTCGACGCTGAATTTTCTATTAATCGAAAGCGTATCGAAACCGAACCAAAAACGTGATTTTTTTTTCTAGGAAAAAGGTTGTTGAAACAACAAAGGGCATCCATTCAGTTATTTTGCTCAGCTTCATTTTCGTATTTATTGAGCGATAATTTCATCGTTCTCTGACAAAAATTGCATTTCTTTCGGATGATTCAAGGCATGGTTATGTATAATAAAAAGAAACACAACTATGACGGATTATCTTTCCAGATATCCTGAAAAAAACGCCGTTACTTAAATTATTTACTTTTTCGTCATAGTAATAAGTCCTGTGAATTTAATTCCTTATTTTCATTGCGTAGACTCCGTAGAGGTTTCAAGAGAGATTATGCAATATTCTAACATTAGGATCATCAGCCAAGCAGGGAGACTCAATTACGGAACCAGTTACGACAATATGCTACAGAAGTGTTCTGTGTCGGCGAAATTCTTTTCTCAAAGATACTGTAGTGGGAGTTCTTTGAGAATATTTTATCCTCACAAGTGGGCTTTAATCATGTGTCTGAAGTTAGATTTCAGTATAATTACCCCGGAATATCGTCTCAGTTGCAGGAGATCCCACGTATTTAAACACTCATTCCGGTAATTTCCGTCCGCGTAATGCTCCCGTATATTTTTGTCTCTTTTTCGTGGGGGTGAACGTAGATGTCGCTGCCTAGTTAGTGCAAAACGTCGACTGATATCAAACTGTGCTCGAGAGAAATTACGCGTGAAAATAGGTTTCACCCGGCGATTCAGAATTTGAAATCCTTTCCATAAATGAACGTTCAAATTATGGACCCAAAAAATCAGTTGAACTTTCATGCTTATCAAGGAGATATTAAAGATATTCCTTTCTAGCAATATTTGAACGACTGCTTGTGACAACCAAAATTGCAAGTGGTTAATTAATTCGAAATCAACCTCGAAGTGGGATTAAATAATTTTCCTAATACGTTCAAACTTAATGTCACTTCGATTTAATTGACCATATAGCCGGTATGTTAGTTTTTTTGTGTGTATTCTTTTGTACAGCTGATGCGGAAATTTTGACGTCGTCATTATAATGTTCTGAAGATTTTTCGTTTCCCTTTATTATAAAGTTGCGATAGTTTTCAACGAATTATTGATCGCAGTCAGCGACGTTACCAGAGGTGGAAACAACAAAGCGATATCATAAAAATATCCCATCAAAATAAACCTTGATTAACGGAAGTACGGGATAATTATTACGGTATTCGTCTGATGAGTGGCAGCTCATTCGTACCGCTTTTAAAGACACATTTCCCAATCGCGCTTTAATTAATTGGCATATTTAATCCGAGTAATGCTGATTCGGACATTTTCGTAGGCATCATATCTCCCTTCATTAGAAGCGGTTCTCCTGTTTCTGGTCCTTGTTTTCAGTCACCCAGTTGTGCCTTCCTGGCGTGTCTCTCTCGGGGCGTCCCTTCGCGTCCCACTTACTCGGTCCCGTTACCCTCTGCGGGCTCTTCTCGTTTTTTATTCTCTTTATTTTTTGGGCGTCCCTTGGACATTATTGTGTTATGCATGCTTCGGCCGGGCAACTTTCGGGCAGTTCCTTTCGCATGGGGGGCCCTTGCGATGTTTTTTCGTTACATAAATCGATTTCATTGGCGATTTTTTGGGTAAGAAATACGAATGTGCAACATTTTGGAAAGCTCATCTTGTATGCGGGAAAATTTAGAACTGCCTAAAAAGACATAAATTATCAAAACGAGGCTTCGAAGCAATTTTCTTGCTCACAAGTCTGGATCATTTATATATGGAAATTTCGATTTCGAACCAAAGATGACGAGAAAGTTTATTTTTACAAAATTAGAACCTGAACTATTAAAACCGTTGGGTTTTCGCAAGTAAATATTGTACTGTACTAAATTATTCTCAATATCTGGGAACGCCTTCATGTTAACATCCCGCTTTCAAATCGAATGCGTGAGAAATATAACCGTTGACGATAATTGAACGTACATTAATTACTAATATATGTTTAAGATGAACTCTCTTCGCTACGATATACGACAATAGACAGGCAACATTTTTGTGATCGACACATTGTTAACCATCTCCTCAACAAACAACCAATAATGATTTCTGACACTGTACTTATTTTGGCCGTTTAGTACTTTTGTAAATAAAGGTCATCTTCATTAAATTCTGTAAGAGAAGCAATATCGAGAATGTTTGTTCGAATTTCTCTGAAGTGCATCTAAAGGAAGGCGGAAAATATTGCCTTTGACATTTAAAAACGTGCTGCAATTATATTCTAAAAATAAGGCTTCAGTATATGTTTTTTTACCTTGACGCGAAGAATTTTACCTTATTCACGAAAATAATAACGTTACGAACACCTTAAATACTGTGACCAAGAAGAAAATATCCCGAAATAAGGATAAATCGCTCGCATATAATGTATCACCGGAATAATGACTTCAAAGATTTGGTGAATATTTTGCAACACTTCTTCGAATAATTATCGAAATCATGGGAAAATGTTATGATTTCCAGAAGCTGCTCTGAAGATACCGCCGAAAAAATTGAAAGCTTATTCTACGTAATCCCTTGCTTAATCTCCCCAAAGTTTACGAGTACAGTACAGTTTAATTGTCCCATAACTCTTTCTTTTCTCATCATACCCATTCTCTTCCCAATGATGTGCAGATTCTTCATCTTTAAAGATCCAACGGAACAATTCCCACCAAACTCTGATTTGGAATATTTGTTTGATTTTATAAGAATCCCCCAATTCCGTGTTTATGTTGTTTAAAATTCGTGGAGACACACAGCTAGGGTGATGGTGGACTGGATAGTCAAGTACTTTTTTTTTTTCTACGCATCTTTGTTTATGCCCACGCGTATTTTCCCGGCGACCAGCGTGGCGGCATTTGATCTCGGGACGCCGAACGGCCGCCTTAGCTGCCGAGAATGATGACCTCCGATCTGCGGGGCATGAGCCTGCCAGGCGGTCCGGGCTCCACCGGTTCCTGTTCCACATTTCCTCGCCGATGACCGGAAAGAATCCCCAGCCTGCGGCTTGTATTCACATTCGGCTGCACTCCGCGTGAGCTTTTACGGCCGTCGATGGGCGGCGATGACTTTAAAAAGCAAGGATTCGAATATTATCATGCGACTGATGGAGGCCAAGAGCCATGATCGTATTTGCCTCGAAGGAAACCAGATGCAAAAAAATATGAAACTGTATCACGAGCAGAACCGATCTCTGCCTGTTTTTTTTTTTTTTGCAAAACATCATTGCTTGATTTTGGCGCAAAGTGCAATAAGCTCTGGAATAAACCTATTGAATCATAAACTCGTACTCAATCTGCTCTAAAGTTGCTTATCGAAGATAAGCTAGAACCCAGTCAAGGATATTAAAAAGGGATAAATATCTTTATAAATCAAATGTACTCGAAACAAAACAATAATTTCCCACTCTAGCAGCACAAAGGGGATTTCTGCTGCAGTGCAAACTGCGAACCAACATTCGAAGTCTTCCCCTTTACAAAGCAACCTCGTCCTGTAAAAAGAAGAGTTGGCACGATTTAAAATGCCATAGTTTAATGATGGTTTGCTAGACGTCAACGAAGAAAATTCATTCGAAATTAATCAAATTATTCATGAGCAAGTGTATAGAACCGACCAGTACAGGTCTTCTAAATTCAAATATGAAGATATCGTCATAGTGCTGAAAAAAAAATGAAACTAAGGCTAATAACGACGAGTACTTGGTTATTGAAAGTACTTATTCGCGGACAGTTTGAGAAGGCCTGGATTATTGTTGGCATTAATATTGGCTATCAGCATCAGCGCCCGACGCATTAATTAACTTTACAAATGAAGATACTGCATAGTTATTTTGAAAAATTGGAAGAAGCATTTGCAAAGATTCTATTTGTATATTGCTTTGTGAACATGCTAAGTAATCTAGTTGATGAACTTCAGATCGTAAAAAAAAGTCAAGAAGAAGATACAGTATCTCGTATCAGTGACCAAGCATTAATTTTATTTTTACAATATTGTGAAAACATATTTATCAGAGCTGCATGGTTAACTAACTTCTAGCGCGCAGAAAATGTGCCGAAAGTTTTTGGAACAAAATATTCCCATGTACAATCAAATCAATGAGTCATGATCGGATGAGTTTCTGAAAATTCTTGATTCAATAAGCATTTTAGATTCAATTTTATGGCGAATCCGATTTTAAAATACTTAGTGTGGAGCCTCTTAATTAGCAAAAAAGTCCTCTCTTTGTCCCTTTTACCTCGAGTTAAAGTCATATACGCTTACATACAGCCCTTGCCTGCTCTTCATGGCCCGATATTTATGACATTGATGAGTATTTTTTCTTTGATTCCTACTGACTTCTAGAAATTTGGAGTGTTGTCCGAGGATCCCCAGGGAAATAAACCTATAGCGTTAGGTCACACGGCGTAATCCGGAGCATTCGAAGGAACGGCAGTACAGTACATGAAGAGGACCGCTCTGTAAGATGAATACTTCAAGAAAATCAGAGATACTGTTTCAAACACAAAATTAAACCGATTAAATTTGACTTCGATGAAGTTAAAACTCTGAACTTGCCTGTGATTATAAGCGCGGAGAAATCGGAATTCATTGGCGTACATTTATATATATTTTAAAATCCCAATATTATCAGCAGTTAAAATAGATAAACAAAAAAGAGAGATTGAAAAAAAAAATGTCGGCTTGGCTGTTCGGAAATCGGGCTATAGTTCGTGGCTCGTCCCTCTAATCTACATGTTCCGGTTTCCGTTATTGGTCCAATCAGATGCCCGGCATCCTCAATGATTGACCCACTTCCCCTGCGCCAGCTCCTGAACTCCGACCGACTTCGGGCGAGGCATTAAAGTCGGGAACCGCAAGTTATTCTTCTCGTTTCTTTTTTTTTT